GATAGCCAAGACTGAGCCATCATAGTCTACATGATCTGGGGCTTGTGCTTCTGCATTCCATTCTAAAATATTTTCACATGGATTTTTCCATTAGAAAAACATAAAACAACTGGATCTTCCAAATCAAGGCCTTTCTCTCAAGCACGCATATAGGAGAACAAAAATGATATAAATCAAGTGATGAATGAGTGAGTTTCATTCTATAATAAGAAACCTCTTATTTTGCAGCTTTGGAATAACAACTGACCAGCAAAAGGACAGTTCATGGGCTTTCCCCGCCACTGAGTTGAACTGTTACTCTCCTATCCTTGAATTGATAGAAAAACTACTCCCTGTATGCCAACTCCATTGCTAATCTCTGCTCTGTGTTTTTGTTTGACATGTTTCCAGTAACTTTCAGTCATTGGATTTCCCTCCAAGATAATAGTGACAAATAACCTTTTATACCCCTGGAGGCTACCTATGCCTCCAGGGGTGTAGCCAGGGTAATTTATGAACTTTAAAGCCAGAAAGTTACAGATAACCTAAGATCATCTCTCTCATAGGCTAGAGAGAAAATTAAGGCAGCATCATGTAAACTTGGGGAGAAAAAAGAAGTTGCCTGGGCCTGTTTGACCCCTGGTTAGGTGAAAGTGAAGAAAAGTCCCATAAGACAGTTTTAAATATGGAACTTGAAAGAAATTGAGGGTCTCTAGCAAAGGATTTGTAGCACCCCTCAAAAGTTACATTTCTCAAGACTTTGTTTTTTGAGGCAGTCTAGACTACTAAACTGTTCTAAAAGATTATTTTGAATTAACAATTAGTTTAGTCCCTTTTGTGCTGTTGGAGTTTGTTTGGTCTGTCTGAGTTTGGTTGCTTGCTTGCAGACATTATATTACCTAACTAGATAATATCATCAGTGCAGGTGAATGTGGAGTTCATTGCCCGTTTATATACAGTAGCTTGCCTTGCCAACTTTGGTAGGGGTTTTCCTTCTTGGTGGTTGTTTGATTTGAATATTGTTTTCTGCCTGTTTGTCTGGTGAGGATCCTGGCTTATCCAAATGTTGGCTGCTGGATGGGATATATTATTAGGTTTTTAATTACCTCCTTTGAATGGTGTATAAACATGATTTTTCTCTATCTTTCTAGATTCTTCTCTAAGGACCTTGGGCATTATAACTGTGTAGGGATACTGGCTATTCCTTGCTAAATATTAACTGTTTGTAACAGCAGATTAGGGAAGACTCTTATCATGCACTTACTTTGTGCATGAAACACAGCAGCAATCATAAATTAGCTGCAGGTTCACTAATCAGTAGGCAAACCTGGTGGCTTTCCACTGTGATACATTGTTTAAGCTTAAGATAGGGGGGAAATCTGAATTCTTTATAGCAAATAACACATATGCTCAGTTTCCCAACATTAGAAATATGGGATTCTCAGAAACAAGAATATTCTTAATTCAAACTACTTAGAATTCCATGATTTACAGATTACTGGTTCCGAGAATGCAGAGAACAATTAATATCTACTGCATAGGGAGTCTTGTTTTGCCATCTACATTTCCATGTCAGTTGTTCTGAAATAAAAAACAAAGCAAAACAGGAAGCATCTCATCCAGGAAAGACCTGATCACCATCCATAATTTCCTTCTTTGCACAGCCAGCTACTGCAGTGGAACAAGCTTCAGAGAATAGGATGCCATGAGGGCTGGCAATAGCAAGACTTTCAGCACTGCACATCTGTCCAAAAAAGCCAGTTTAAAAGCATCTTAAGAGCATTTCTAAGAATTCTCCCTTTATGTATTGAAACTGTAATGTGTTCTTGACATCTAGCCCTACTAAGTCAGAACATAAGATATTGTACATCTCAAGGGCCTTATTTTCCATTCCGCATTCCCCTCAGTAGCCATTTCTTGCTGCAGGCGTATTGCTAAATGATCCCAACATTTGTTCCATGTGCAAGAATCAGAAGATGTTTGAAAACAGTATTTGGTTTTAATGCCTGAGTGATACAAGGTGGATGGATCTATCATAGTAGGGCTAACAGATCTGGGCTCTTTATTTCTATCTGCCATCTTGGTTGCCATCTTGTTATCTAGACTTTTGCAGCCAAGAACTGGTAGCTCTAGAAACCTGGGTGCCAAGTTTCCATGGGCCATTTCTGCTTTAGCTGTTCCATCTGTTGTGTTTGGCTCAGCTTACACTTATCTAGAAGTAGTTTTGTGTTAAATTAATGTACTGTTTCTTCTGATGGGGAGAACTTGGAAAAGTCCAGGTGAGTGCTGGATCATGTACATTTCTGTCCCAAGGAATTAATTTACCAAATAGTTAAAAGGCTCTTATGATACCTCCACCTCCCCAATATCTAGTCTTAAACTGTGTGCTGCATCTTTAATGTAATGTGATGTCCTGTGTTCCACATCAAGTATGAGGGATCAGTCACTCCCCATATGAAAAGAAGGACTAGGTGTGACATGATAGCAGTCTAAGAGGTTGCCACAAAGAAGAGTGAGTCAACCTATTGTCTGAAGCACCTGATGGCAGGACAAAAAGCAATGGATGGAAACTAATCAAGGAGAGAACCAACTTAGAAGTAAGGAGAAATTTCCTGACAGTTAGAACAATTAATCAGTGGAACGACTTACCTCCAGAAGTTGTGAATGCTCCAACACTGGACTTTTTTAAGAAGAGATTGGACAACCATTCGTCTGAAATGGTATGGGGTTTCTTGTCTAAGCAGGGAGTTGGATTAGCAGACCTCCAAGGTCTTCCAACTCTGTATTCTATAACAACAAGATCACCTGCTATGGATATGGCATGTTTTGCTTTTGCTGGAGGCATTTATTTAACCTTGCTTTTTCCTCAGGCAGAAAAATACAAACAGCAAAACACATTGGAGGATCTTCTGGGAAAAGTTATTGTTATAATTCCAGCTCACTAGTGGCTGAGTGTCAGCCAGGGACCAACTCCATGTGACATGATTAGCAATCAAGAAATGGGTTTTTTAAAATTGAAGCACACTGGGAGCGTGTCAGGGGAAAGTTGTTGGGTTTTTTTGCCTAATTTTATCTTCTGTTTGGTGGCGTGAAATTCAGAGTTTTTCTCAGCTTTGAGAAATATTAAGAATTTGGTTAACAGTCTCCTTTCTCTGTAACTGTATATCAGCCATTGAAAAATAAAGTACCCGTTTCTAAATACTCCAGGTCTGCCACCCAGAAAAGCCCAACATTGAGAATTAAAAGGAAGTGGCATCATGATAGGAAGGAGATGGAGTAATAAAAATTATCTTGATAAAGGTATGTAAGATCTGGTGCAGTAGTGGGTTTCAAATCCCGTCACTACCGGTTCGTTCGTGGGCATGGGCTTGCATGCAATGCTTCTGTGCATGCAGAAGTGCCGCCCAGGCGGGTGGGCAGATCCGGGGCAAACCAGTAGCAACCCACCACTGATCTGGTGCCAGAGTGGTGGTGGTGGAGTGAAAATATTTTAAGTCCACAAGAGACAGATAATATTTGGAAACGAATCAGACAGACACCTCCCTAATTTACTGTAAAAGAGGTAGTCTCTGTTAACCGTAATTGGGATCATGAATTCCATTGCTAAGCAACATGGATGTAAAGCACAATGTTATGTGCCCATGCCAACTTATGACGGCAGTTCCAGTTGGTGAACCCTGCATGGCCATTAGGCACAATGTCACATGATTGCCATTGGCAACTTCCTGCTGTCTTTCCAATTGACTTGACAGAAGTCAGCAGTGAAAAGTCACAAATGGCAATCATGTGATTATAGGATGTCATAATTGTGAGCCGTTTACCAAGCACCAGAATCACAATCACATGACTGCAGGGACATTGTGATGGTGGCAATTGTGAGATAAACCTCATTCACTGCCTTTGTAACTTTGGTCACAGAATGAGTGGTCGCTGAACAAGGACTACCTGTATAAGAAGGAAGAGGAAGTACAGCACAATCAGACCTGCAAGATTATATTACCGCCGACCAAAATACAAGTAGTTTTAGCTTTCCTGTGAAGCTGATTTCTTGGTTAGATCAACCTAGTGGAGTTGACAGAGATATAATCTAATACAGGTAGACTTTGACTCTAGTGACTGTTTGAAGTTACAATGGAAAAAACACTGATTTATGACCATTTTTCACACTTATGACCTTTGCAGCATCTCCATGGTCACATGGCAAAACTCACTTAACAACTGTCTCAATTAGCAACATAAATTTTGGGCTCAGTTATGGTCGTAAATTTAGGACTACCTGTACGTGTAAGAGATGTGTAATGACCTTTTATATAGGTTAAGACAGGGGTATCAAACTCATGTCACAGTGGTGTCACATGACATATCAGGACTTTTTTCTCCTTCACTAAACCGGGTGTGGGCGTGGCCAGCACGTGACACATCTGGGCCACAGACCAGGAGTTTTGACAGCCCTGGGTTAAGACAACCCTGGGTTTCTTCCCTCAACCAGATGAACCACCTGGTATCTTATCCCATTTTACCCACATATAGAATGTTATGGAAACCTGGCCATGTAATATTGTTTACGTGCATGCTCACACATAAATACAGATTCTCCCTTCTGGAAAGAAAAGAAAGATCTGTAGCAGCAGGGAAAAAATTAATTTAGTTTCATTGTAATCTGGGGGCAGGTAGGAGGTAGAAATAATTTCCTGTCCAGTGAACTTGGCTGTTTCTCTGCAAGCCAATATAAAGGAAACTTTTGTTCTGTGTCTGAATTACATGGGAGAAAGGTGGACTATTGTGTTTTTTTTTATCTTGCCCAAAATCAGTAATGTCAGTGACATTATAATCCCACACTAAGAAAAGGGCATGTAATCATTCTACCGCTGAAGTTGGTTTCGAGAATTGTTTTGTTCTGAAATACTGTAATTCATCGAGAAATGTTAGCTCTAAAGCATTTATTTAAGCTTAAAGCCACATTTATACTGTCTGTCTGGATAATTTTTGCAAATAGTCCCAAATATTATATATCCACCTACCTAGAGGGGCTCAGTTCAGATTTCCTTAAAATTTAGAGAGGTCCATGCCACATTTCCGAGAACAGCTATGCAAAAAAAGAATTAAAAAGATACATTCTACTGTACAACACAAGTGTGATACTTTAATTATTATATTAAAAAAGTAATGAATTTCTTAAATTTGGGGCACCCCCTGCCTTTCCCCCTCCCCATCCTTGGTTTTGGCTTCTGATCGGAGGAAAGTGTAGCTCTGTGTTTTTCGAGGAAGCGTCGGGAAAGATTTAGAAACCTGGAAAATCCTATAGCCTTTGCAACTCACCCGTCCACGGGCAAATGTACTGTTTGTTATTGTTAATTTGACACAGTTAAACCCAGGTTTACATGTGTGGCTTACGTGCATGCTTTCTTTTGCTTTCCCTTTTCTTGCCGCCCGGCCGCTTATTTATTTTTTAAAAGAAAATGCCATGTGGCTTCTCGTGGCAAACGGATCCCGGCCCTCCACACCGTCCCCAAAGAGGGAAGCGGCTCTCTCCTCCACCGCCGACCACAGCACGAACAAAAACCGGCTTACTTTTCCCACATGGGCGCACACGCGTACAAATCTGCCACGAGGGCCGCGCTTGTCCCCTTTTGGGGGGGGGGGGCTCCTATTTTGTCGTCAAGCGACGATCGGCAATGTCAAGCGTGATTCCCACCTCCGAAAAAGGATGGACACGGGTTGAGGGGGAGACTTGAAAACGCGCACGCCGCAGACACACGTGTCTCCCCTCCTCCCCCCCCCCTCACCGCTTTCTGCAGTGCCGTCTGCGAAGAAGCGCCGCGTTCGAACACCCGGGCGATCGAGACGCGCAGGCAGCCCCGCCCCTTCCCGCCAGTCTCCTGCCTGAAATCTGCGTTCAGCCTGGATGTCGGGAAGGCGTGGAGGCGAAGCTTCCGCGAGGGGCGGCGAGTGGGCAGAAGCAGAAGGCGCCGCCTTGTTCGGAAGGGCTCTTGAACCTCGGAGCGTCCCAGTGGTGGGAAAGAGGGTGACAAACCCTTTTAGGAGAAAACCCTGAAAATTGGAGCTTGCAGAGCATTCTTCCTTTTCTTTTCACGGGATGAATCCCAGCCGTTTAGTAGCAGTAACAGAGTTGGAAGGGACCTTGGAGGTCATCTCGTCCAACCCCCTGCTCATGCAGGAGACCTGTACTAGGGATTCGAACTGCCTAACTGCCGACCTTTCTGTGTTAGCCACTGAGCCACCTAGTCAGGCTGGTTTAGACCTCTGCTTTGTTTTTATTTAGAAAATGCAACCGCCACCCATTCCCATATGCATTGGGAATCTGATTGAAATGTACAGGGAGTAATAAGAAATAGCTTCCCCTCTAGATCAGGGTGCCATTAATTTTATTTTTAGTGAACAGCCCCCCCCCTCCCCCCATATGAGTGGGTTCCCTTAAATATAAGATAGTAGTGGGGAACAAAATAATTGATTGTCATCATCTAATAACAAAGCTATAATGTTTGTAACTAGTGTTGGAAGAAATATCCATCCGGTTCAGTTCCCAGCTGGGAGAAAGACGCTGGAAACAACATGGAGGCTGGTGGGAAAGAAAGTTTATTGATGAACAGAACCACACACAAAGACAGGATGCAGTTCTGGGTCAGCTGAACAACTAGCTGAGTGAGAGGAAGGCTTCTTACATGGTTCTGTGTTTTTGAAGTTTGGGATTTGTGCAATATGGGCTTTGTGTTTCTAAAGCAGGTGTTGGGCAATTCCCATTGTGGCTGATGGCTTTATGTCCTGTGCTGGATTTTGGCGAGGGGCTGCTTGTTATAATCCTATTACTCGGCTTTTTTTAGCTGTCAAACTTTGCTGTAAGGGGTTTTGAAATACCCTGTCTTGAATGGACTTCTGTGGGCAGTATTTGCTTTGCTTATGAATTGAGCCATCTAGATAGTTGACTTCCTCTTTCAATAAGCTCCTTATCTCCTTAAGTGCTGGCATCTGCTATGGGCTATTAAGAAAGACAGGAGGCTGCTTTCTGCCTCATACTTTTTCATTTCTCCTTTGGGGAAATATAATATTCTGCCTCTTTTAATATCTCTAAAAATATTTCATTCTTCGGGCTTCCCACAATTGAAAATTGGAAAATTCACCAGAGGATTTGGTGCTGATTATCATAAATTGCATGACATATTTTAGAGATGATTTCCCGGATAATGTCTAGACGTTGCAAATCATTTTTGGTATGGCTTGAGTTCTTGGCTAGCGTTTTCCTCCAGTATAACACATCAAAAGACAGCAGGCAAGAGTTTGCCGCATCCAGTGCTACAATTCTTAACACTGAAATGGTATCATGCTTCCATGGACACTGACACGTCAGTTTCTCATATTCTTTGTTTTTTTCTTCAATGTTTTGTCATTTTATCCTAGCAGGCCAGTATGAAAAGTATTAACTCTAATGATGATCATTGGATCTGATTACCAGTGAGCACCAGGATTTATGCATATGTTGAAAAATAAATCTGAGTTTACCACTGAGGCGTGTATTAAACTTGACGTCAACTGACACAAACTTTATATGCCATACTCAGCATCAAATAATAACTTTGTCTGATGAAGAAGAGCTTGCTTCTTACAGTACAGTAAATTTAGTGTATTAGGGAAAAAATTCAGCAATGTGGTTCTCATAAGCAGGTTAGACACATATGACCTATTTTTTTAAAAAAAACTATTGGGCTATCTGTAGAGAATTTAATAAGACCTAGTGTGACCAGCAAAAGGAAAGAAAAAACATGATGGAAGATTTCCTGCTCCTGCACTGCATTAAAGCATAGTCATAGCCTGTATAAAACCAACAATTTACTTCAATTGCTACCATAATAACATTTATTTTTCAGGGTGCACGTTCATCTCTCCTGCCTTTTTCTCTGGTGCATCTTGTTCTTGTGATAATTTTCTCTGACATTGATCGTCTATAATTGTTTCCTATTTTCTTCCATTCTCTCTCCCACGCAAGAGAACAACCTCCCCCCCCCAAGATAATTCAACTTGTGGAATGGCATGCAAACAAGTTTTGTTGCTTTTTGAGCCTCATCAGTATCAGAAACACCTTTCATGTGTATTTGCTAGTTTATGTACAGCTTGTGGCAGAACTTTGAGGCAATGTGTATATATTTCCCCTCTATGTTGCAGAAATTGAACACAAGATTTTGATATAGCAGGAGATTGCTAAACGGAGAGAGACGAAGTACAACAGCTGCCTTTACTTCTTGCTGATTGTATTGTATAGTTAAACAAATGAGATGACCCTGCCATCTTGTTTGATCTTGGAAGTTTAATTTCCTTTTTTAAAAATATTTTTATTGATGTTTAAAAATAGAATCAAACTAGTTCAAACTAAGAAAAATACAAAAAAGAAAAAAGTGTAAAGAATAAAAGGGAGTGGGAAGAAAAAAAAATGTAAAAGGAAAAAACCTACAGTATAAAGAAATGAATCTTCCCAGGACTGACAAGTGCAGTTTCAGTAACTTATCACCTTTTTAAATATGTCAAACAAAAAATATCTTCATTCCATATCTCATCTTTTATGTACAGTATTAGCAAACCAGAAAGCCCATCATTCAATCTTAATCAGCGAAAGTACTTTAAGGGTTATCAGAAATAACGATATATACACTGGGTGTTAACCTTAAATTTAAAAAATCAATTTCATAGTCCTTCTATTTACTTTACACTGTAACTTATCATTTTCTCTAAAAATACAAAAAATCTCTTTTCGTCATAGCTTATATCTACAAAAAAAATCATTAAAGCCATGTCATTCAAAGTTAATTTTAAAAAATGTATTACAAGCTATCAGAAACAAAGCATATTAAAATGTAATCCTCTCAAATAATGTCCCGCAAATTAATTAATACACATGTTCATCTCCTCTTAGACATTCCTTTGCAAGTTTAATATTTTCCTTCAGTTTTAATATCATAGTGTGTGGTACTTATTTCCTATCTGACCATGTACGTTTTATGAACATCTATATTAGTGCTTCATTCATTCATTCTACCAAACACTCTGCAGCTTTGATTTTGAGTAGAAGACATTTCATTGCCCCACTAATTATCAATATGTGAGCTTAGGAGAAGTGAAGTGAAGTGAAGTGAAGTGAAGTTCATTGGTTGGAACGAATTATATACAATTATATACAATATCCTCATATCCTGCCTTAGGTGGGACAGTCCTGTAGGCCGAATATTGTTTTGCAAGTTGATGTTAGTAGGTTATTTACTTGTTGATAAGGTGGTGATTCTAACATTTTGCTCTAATAGAATGGCTTGTGGAGGATGTTATTTTTCTATAATAGTTGAGTAACTGGCTTTTGATTGTTAGATTTATATGAGAAATGTCTCATCTAGGTTTTTGATTTATTACTGTGTGAGATGGGAGTGGTACTCCATGTTGAGTTGATATATTGTTATTGGGTCTTGGTTTACATACATTCGTGCATAGGAATTAAGTCAAGTGTGGCTTGCTTGCTTTAAATTTTTTTCTTGCTTTTTCAACCTGCCTTGTTCTAAGATTTCCATTGTTTCCCAGCTGAATTAATGCAGGAAGTTATATATATTATATAGGGAATAATTGAAGCGGTATATTTTTCTAAGTCAACCACAAACCACACGGTGGCTTAGGGGGATGTGAGTACCCAGCCACAGTATGTAATGGTGTTGGTTATCACCTTTAAAGCGCTCCATGGCATAGGGCCTAGCTATCTTCGAGACCGCCTGCTGCCACCGACGACCTCCCATCGACCCGTGCGCTCCCACAGAGAGGGCCTCCTCGGGGTGCCATCAGCCAAACAGTGCAGGCTGGTGACCCCCAGGGGGAGGGCCTTCTCTGTGGGGGCATCTACCCTCTGGAATCAATTGCCTCCAGAGATAAGGAGAATCCAAGACCTCAGTGCCTTCCGCCGTGCCCTTAAAACCTTCCTTTTCCAGCAAGCCGGGCTGGCCTAATTTTTTAAGTGTTTTTAAGTGTTTTGTTTATTGTTTTTAATTAATGGGGCCAAATTTATATATATATATTTTAACTGTATTTTAATATTTGTACTTGATGTTTTTACTTGGCTGTCCACCGCCCTGAGTCCTCAGGGAGAAGGGCGGTATACAAAATAAAATAAAATAAATAAAATAAATAATGGAATTGTAGAACCATTCAGGCCTGGTAAGCACAAGATAGTAGATTTTGCTAATGAAAGTGAGAAAGTAAAATGAATTGAACCACTCTAGGTGCGGTATCATCAACCTTATGATGTTGATGATACTGCTGCATGTTAAGGAGAAGAAATTAAAATAGCCCTCTAGGCTCAGATTGCCCATGAACTACAACAGTATAATTTAGTCTGCAACTGTTGTCATACTAATAAGAGTTCCAATGCAAATACATTGTGGTGAAGAATACATCTGAATAGTCTTATCTAACACTGATGTAAATAAGCTTAGCAACAAGCAGAAAAGTACTGAATCATCCCTGCAGATGAACTGCCTTGGAAATGAGGGGGGGGGTCCTGCCTTCCCTGAAGTAAGCACAAGATTTAGCAGTGGAGATGAAGAGTCACGAGATGAAAGTGACTCTGAGATGAAAGGGACCTGAGTGATGGAAAAAGAACACAGCTTTGGGGCAAGACAAGAAGCTTGAAAATTCCACACGGTTCTCTTGTCTCCTCCTCTTTCCAGCATAAATAAATTGGCACATTCCTGAAAGACCTCTGTGCCCTCACAATCGGGGCCTCAGGAGGCGTGCTCTGTGGCACAAATGAATTAAATTTGGGCATCACGTGGAGTTGCAGAACCTTTGGAAGTATCTGTGCTGTGCAGCCCTTCTTACTCTTCTAAGCAGCCCTCTCTAGGTGGGCTAAGCTTTTGATTGTCCTTGTGCACATTGGTAGAGCTGTGCAATATATTCTGCACCTGGATTGCTAAATGAGGTTTGGAATATGTTGTGAAATATCATGCTTTTTTCTGCCTACGTGATATTTTTTTTTTTATTCATTTCTCTCTCCTGCCTTTGTTTTTCTCTTGTTTAAATTCCTCTTCTGATGTCATTTAGTTAAATGTTTATAGTAGGCTAATCAAAGCAGTGTCTTTGGCCTCTGCTTTCTGTATTTTTTCCTTTCCCCGCATGCAGAGAAGATGGGGGAAGATCATGAATGAACCTCTCACGGTTTTAAAAGCTAAATATAATTTCCCCTACCATTTTGGCTAAGAGCCAGGAAGTTGGGGATTGAGGCAGTGGTGAAATCCAAATTTTTTTACTACCGGTTCTGTGGGCGTGGCTTGGTGGGCGTGATGTGGCTTGGTGGGCATGGCAGGGGAAGGATACTGCAAAATCTCCATTCCCTCCCCACTCTGGGACCAGCCAGAGGTGATATTTGCTGGCTATCTGAACTACTCAAAATTTCCGCTACCGGTTCTCCAGAACCTGTCAGAACCTGCTGGATTTCACCCCTGGATTGAGAGATCTTCCAGACCAGGGGTCCCCAACCCCTGGTCCATGGACCGGCACCAGGCCATGGCATGCCAGTAACCTGGCTGCGTAAACAAGTGAAGCTCCATTCACAGGGTGCAGGCTGCACACAAAACCACACCCACTCTGGTCCCCAGAAAAACCTTTTTCCCTGGTGCCCAAAAGGTTGGGGCCGTTCTTCCTGACAGTAATATATCCATGACACTTGGCCATCATGCTCCCAAGAGACTATGCATCATTACCACTGGGTTTTGCTGTTGTGAGCTGTCCTGCTACTAGAGCAGTTTTATCTCTAATGGAAAGGGCAGTTTCAGCCCAATGAATGCTGCTTTGGAAGCAAAAATGTTTTGTTGCCTTGGACTTTAAGGTGAGATATGTCCTTGTTCTCTCCCATACTTCAGGCTGGTTCTCTACATAGAAAAATAGTTTGTCAATGAGAAAAGCTGGTTAAAATTTACTCGTTCTGTCTGATGGTTTCTTTCTGTGTATTGGGGCAGTGTGTTTTTGTGGAGTGGTGATTATAGAGCAGGGAAGGAGAGAGGATCATTCAATCACATAAGACTTATTTTCTAGAAATACTTGTGGAAGGCTGACATTGTGATTATTTTACCTACAGGATTATCACTTTGATTACCAGGATTCAGCTTTTAGCTAAGTAGTAGTAGAAGCATTTCCCAAAATGAAGGATTAAAAGCAGAAATCAAATAATGCATACATATTTTTTTTTAAAAAAACCCTCTCAAATTCTTAATTTGTACATTACAGTACATTATGAATGTTGCCTGCAGTAAAAATGGTAAAAAATAATAAAACCTCACTTGAATGCATTTATAAGTTGGGTACCTCTAAGTTTCATTGGCATGCTTCTTTAAAAAAAATATAAAAATAAATCAAACTGTCTTACAAATATAAGCTGTAAAACCTAAAACCACCTCATCTTCCAGAAAGTGGTATTAATTTAACATGAATACATTAATTAGCAACAAGCCAAATGTCCCATCCCATAAATTCTCTTCCAAAGGAGCATCCCGGATGGCTGTCAGACCCATTGCTCAAAGCTGCCTTCCTTGGCTTTTCTTCTGACTTGATTGCTGTTGGAAATGCCAGAATTTTGGATTGTACCAAAATGGATAAACTAACAAAAGAATTTAAAGAAAAGGAGGATATGGAATACTATATAATTTGGCATAAATGGTATAAGTGGCTGGAGGACAGAAAAAATGAAGAAGAAAAATAGGGGGAAAAGACAGAAAGACCAAAAAGCAAAGAAAGAATTTATTAAAGTATAAAAATTAGAAAACTGATATGAATGATGAGAAATATATTGTAATTAAAAACGAAAGGGAAAAGTAGTAAATGGAATAATATAAAGAGAAATAAGGGCAAATTGTGAATAACAAAAGAAGACCATCACGAAATAGCTGTGAAGAAAGTTTATATATAAATGTTGTATGTTTTGTATTGTCATATTATATTATAATAATAAATAAAAATTTTTAAAGGAAATGCCAGAACTTGATGGAGGCTGCAGGTAGGCTGATATCTCCTCCGGCCAATCCTTATTTCCTCCGGCCAATCCTTATTTCCCTGCTCTGCGGCTGCGATTCCATTCTGCAGCTATGAAGACTTCAGAGCACTGATGTGTCTCCCAAAAGTCCTTCAGCCTTTGAGCAGGTAGGCAGTAAAAAGGTATGAAGGAGGTTAAGTAAATATATATTTTTTAAAAAATGTCCAAATAATTATGCTGGGTTATGAGATCCTGGCTTCAGGATCTCATTCTTTCTTGGAGTGACTGATCACCAAGATCACTCTCATTCAAGGATGTTTCTCGTGTCAACCCTTGGATCCAGCATTTCTAAAGAAACTTTTGGGGATGCTTGCTGCAGCACTCTCCCTTTCGTTTCACTACATTCCCCAACTATATATTAGAGATGGAGCTTCACAGAAGATCCTCAACTGTACTCACACTGCTCTGGCTGTCTCTATCTTTCACTGGGTTCACAATTTGCTCCAAACTGGAAGCTAATAAGTGTTTTGCCAAGGCCACACAGAAATATATATCTTAGTTTACCCAGAGTTATTTCCAACAGGTTTTAATTTGGGGGCAAAGTAGATATGCTTGTCACAGTATCCGTGCCCTTGCCCTATTTTAGTCCCAATTTAATGCTATCTCCCACTCCGCTGCCCCACTTAGACCAGTTCCTTGCACCAGGAAAAACGCTTATATTGGTGCTAGCGCCAACTGTGTCCTGGCAAATTAGGCTGATTTATTTAAGTTATGCGTAGACTCTTGTCATCACATTTTTTAAAAGAACAAGAACTGCAAAGGCTGTTTGGCATTTGCTATTAAAGTGTGTATTTTATTTGATGATTAGCGCAGCAGCCAAGTGCTTTTCAGAGAAGAAAAATACATCCCTTGAGCTCTTGACTGCAGTTTCTGTGTAAGTACCCTTCAATCATGGAATACAAGAGTAGCTACAACAGAAACACCCATATTTTGTCCGGCTTGTTCTTTATGATTTCCACTTATGACTGTGCTGTTCAAGGACAGTTCCAATTCTTCTTGTATAGAGGCGGGTGGGAGCTGTGTGCTTGATTCATGCTCCCTCCCACTTCCTGAAAGATATAAAAGCTCTGCTTCCAAGCTCTCAGCGCTGAAAGCTTAATGAGGAAAGCTGTGATCAGAGCCCTCCACTGCTCCGCAGTCCAGATTCTGCAGATTTAAGCAAGCCGTCCAACTGCTTTCTCAACATGTGCCGGGGTTTAGCTGCACTGCCTGCTAGCTGCTTGGAGAGGTAAGAGGCTTGGGAAATTATTGAAGCTCTTAGCAAATTATTACTTTGCTGAACAGTCAGGGCTGGAGTTGACTTGGCCACATGTAGTGACCAGGAGTGACCTTTGTCCATATCCCAAACCCTGATTGTACCATTTCATGTAATAACCATTTCATGTAATAACTGGACTGGCATTATTTAGTTCAGCACTGAGGAAAGATAAGGGAGGTAATGATAATAATAGGAGATTTCTTAAAAAGAAATAGGTAGGTCTGCCCTATATTTCTCTTGCTTTTCTCGAGAACTGCTGGACTGTCTGCTTCATACATTTGGCTTGTTTGTGGGCTTTTAAATGTTGTGAGGAGGAAACGAGTACAAAACTCTCCCGTCTCTTTGCAGTGCAGTTCTCAAAGACACCTCTGCAAATAGCACTGCACATCATTAGCATGCCTGCCACACACCAGCCAGAGGTTGGTGAGCTAAGAATAGAAAGCGATGCGCCAGGCAGCCATCTCCAAACTGTCGCAGTGATTGCACCAAGCAGGGAGAGACCTTCGAATGGCTGCAGCACCACCCTGGCTAGGGAAGTGTGAAACAACATTCAAAGTCTGAAAACTCTTACCAGCTACTATATGGGATGCTTTGAATAGTGGGAAGGAAAGCATTCTTGCCTTAGTCACCGAAGAGGAATAGCAATTGGGGAGAGGTAGCGTAGAAGCACGGATGGGAAATAATTATAATAATTAAGATATTGGCACTTTAGTTGTGTCCTGGTAAAACAATATAGCCACAGCAAAAAAGCTTGAGGGTCTGCCTTGAGGAGCCTGCAGTGTGGTTTTTTGACAGGTGGAGAGGTATCAGAAAAGGACAGTGATGAGAGATTGACAGTCGCATCTGACTTTTGCTTTGGTGTGCTGGCCATCTACTGTGTGTGGAAAAGGCAGGATAACATTTTAGTGATAGCCTTAAGTTTTATGTATTCCTAGCGTTTACAGAAGCTCTCTCCTCTCCTTTGCCCCTGGCCCCAGCCACATCACACCATAATGAGTTGATAACCGCTCTAGTGACCTTTTGAGAGGAAATAGTGCAGTTAACAAGTAGACTCAGTCCGAGGCAAGTGCAGCATCATCGCATCTTTTAAATCTCTGGGAACATCTAATTGATTTTTCATATTCCTGATTGTCTCAGATTCAACAGCTACAGAGACATGAAGGATGCCCAAGTCTATTAGTGGGTTCACAGTCAAGTCCAAGCAGAGAGAAAGTTCAAAAGGGATGCAGATGCTCCAGAGTGAGAAATCAACACACTATTAACCATCGTGAAGATCCCCTTGACCTTCTGCACTTGAAGGCCACATGGCACACATCTTGGACCCTAGCACGGTACCCAGGAGTGGGGCCCCACTAAGCTACCGGCAACAAATTATTCATAAAGAAAAATTTTAATTTTTTACATTTGTTTTAATTTTTTTTAAAAGTGGCAAACTATCAAAGCAAGTGCAATCTGTATTTCTGAGAACAAGCTACAACATGATTTCCAAATGAGCGCACTGGTCCAAATAGATTGAGAACTCCTATGGCTGTAACAGTTGACTAAAGAAATCATACCCATCAAAAGCTGGCATTTCATAAAAAGTGATAAAAATAAGTGACATTAGCTAGAGAGCAGTGAGCCTGCAATTTTAATGTTTTGAAACTATAGAAATCATTATTTTGGTCTGACTCACGTTTGTTTTGTTCCTAGCAATATTTGTGATTTGTCTCAGTATTATGTGGCAGTTTAATTTTTCAGGAGTTCAGCACAAAAATATAATTACAAGTTGGTGAACAGTATGGTGCTGATTAATCCTAAATGCTATAAAAGTTAATTCAGAAATACACATATCAGTTTGAATAGTAATAATAAGCTAGATTCATTGTTGGCTAAGAGCATCTTTTCTAAGATCTGTGGAATAATGACAATGCATTTTTAAAACATGCTGGATAAATATTAGAAACAATAGCATTTAATTTGTTTAAATATTGCTTTAATAAACAGAAAAGAGAAAAAGGTGCAAGAAAAATGTAAAAAGATTTAAAGAATAAACTAAAAAAAGGAAGGTTAAAAGGGTATCATAGAATTATGTCTATGTGTACAGAAATATGTTCAGCTTTTCTACAGCAGATTAAATTATGACCTCATGTAATAATGATGGTAAATTAAAAAATGTTGATTAAAGATATAGCTATAATATAGATATAATAACTAGAATTTTTATATACATTCTTGAAGGATCGAACGTTTTCATTGCTCACCAGTTTATTGATGATTATTACATTTTGGCACATATTGCTTGGTTTTTGGCATATATTAATGAAGATAATTAATAGCTTAAGAATTTTGCAGAACTGACATACTTGTGTAGTTTTACAAAGCAAAAACTATATATATATTTATTATGATTGGAATAAACATGCCATACCACTGTGAGCAGCTTTTAAGAAGTTGGGTATTTAGAACATAGAATTCTTGTAAGGTAACTTAAACCTTGACAGAATTAATGCCCTGGTAGGCTGGAGTCATGAGATGTCATATTACTTCATTTTAGAGGTCGAGGCACTTAAGAGTAGTACTATTAGATCTGGGGGTACAAATCTCCAGATGACCATTAAGAGCACAGAGTTGGTGTTCTTTGTATCTCTTTGCTGCCACCTAGTGGAGGCTTGGAGTTTGTAGCCTAGATAGAACTAGTGGCCTTTGATGAGAGGTTGAGGGAGATGGTCCAGAGAATTAAGCAATGGATATCTGGTGAAAGTGGGGGGAGGAGAATAAAAAATGAATTCAACCCTGCAGAGAAGTCTGATGAATTTAGTAATAAGGGACAGGATTAAAGAAACACAGTACAGAGTTTTTAACTTTAAGGATTTAATTTACAAATTAACTTTGCAATTGCAAAATATATACTGCTTGAAAAAAAAGTGTTTTCCTTTTCAGTTTTTAAGTCTGGTTGAGGCAGTAAATGCTGTGAGTTTAGGAAAACTAATTATGGCATTCTGCTGATTAAAATCCATTAATTCAATTTATCCTTGCTGCCAACAGTATAATACGGATAGCCAAGTTAAAGATTGATTGATAAAGGATTTTAAAAATGCATTTACTAATGGAGAAAAAGAAAGATTAGCAGAAAAGCCAAGTAGTGACATTATACTAAAGAAATGCAACAGCTCTCAGTCTCACCATGCAAATTCTTATCTTAAATTGCTTGAATCAAGAAGCTTCTAGATCTTAAGTTTGAAAGAACATCCTTGTCTGTCTTGATACCCTCTAGTAACTACAGTACTTTGTTTTTCAGTATCCATTTTTAATTAAATTCTTTTCCTTTTCTTTTCTTTTTTCAGAGCCAAAGAGTTTAAAACACGTTTGGGAATTCTACTTCTTAAACCAGAGTTTGGACATAAAATTGGAAACTTCAGCTGGAGCACCAAACAAAAGTAAGTCTATCTGGTTGATAAAAACACAAGGGTTTTTAAGGGCAATAAATTTTTTGGGTTATTTCAGTTTCTAATTGACTGCAAAGAGAGGAAGGCATCCTAGATAATGCTTTTTAACTGTGTTAGAAAAGATTTTATATGATACTGCAGTTTGTTATGCTGCATCCTCCATTTATGAACGGACAAAGAGCTGTTCTGAGTCAACTAAATGGCTGAGGTGTTTTTGAAGAGAGGCTGCTTCTAAACAAGACTTGCCTTGTGCAAGTCTTATAACACTATTTTTTTTTCCTGAAAAGAAAATGATGGAAGAATGGGTGAAAATGGGGGACCTAAAAATGAAAAACCCCATTATCTCAATCACTTATAACATTCTATTTAAAAAATAGAGTGATTTTTCAATAAATTTTCATCTAAGATATCCCAGCTACTCAATTTCCAGATAGTATTTTTTGCTTATTTTAGAATATTGCCTCCAGAATAATATCTCTACACCTTAATTGGCTAAGAAGGATAAGAAATTTTGAAGAACTTGCTGAAGCCATTTAAATGTTGTTAATGGCATAACATTAACAACATTTGTGAGATGCTTTGTAGCAGTGAGCAATCTTGAATGGGGATTATGAGAAATGAAGCCTAGATAAAGATAAACCCTAACCTCTGCACTTCCCAGCGGCTCTGCTCCCTGTACTCTTTGCTCACAACATTACTCTTTGAAATCTCTTGGACAAGCTCTAAAAATATTATTCCTTCTCCAGATATTCTTTGGAGGAAATACTTGGATGGAAGGAGTCCTTTGATCAATTGCTGAGAAGCAGAAGTGAGTACACATCTTGTACACTTTGTTAAAAAAAAAAAAAAGTATAGTTGCGAGTAGCTGGCAATTGTGTGATTTCACATGATTCAATAAAGTTGCCAACCAGTCATGTCTGTTTAATCTGTTTACAAATAACTGAAGAGGGCTTCCTCCTCCTATTTTCCCCACAACAACAAACCCTGTGAGATAAGTTGGGCTGAGAGTGAGTGACTGGCCTAAAGACACCCAGCTGGGTATCATGCCTAAAATGGGACTAGAACTCTCAGTCTCTTAACTTTCGAGCCTGGTGCCTTAACCACTAGACCAGGGGTGTCAAACCTGCGTCTTCACAGCGTTGTCACATGATGTATCGTGACTTTTTCCCCTTCGCTAAACTGGGCGTGGCCAGCGCCTGATGCATCTGACCCATGGGCTGGACACCCCTGCACTAGATCAAACAGTTTCTCATTTGAATCAAATTAGTTATTATGCTAAACGTGACCTTCTCTCCAGTTTTTTTAAAAAAATTAGCAACAGTAAGACAACTCCAGATTCTCAGGGAGAGGATTCTGATCCTGTTAATGTTGTATTTTTGCCACCCAGATTGTTTATTTTCTACAATAGAAGGCAAAACAAATAAGACACCAATGGGGTTTAATAGATTATTCTTCATCCAGAAATCAACCATGTATCTTTAAGATGTATCGTCCTTGACATTAGAATTTGCAAAACATTTAGCATTTTAAAAATCTATTAGCGACAGTCTTTCTTTTCCTTCTCTCTCTATCACTTCTAAACTGGTTATTCTACCTCCTTCTTTACAGGTGGCATGGCAGCATTTCATGGGTTTCTTAAAACAGAATTTAGTGAAGAAAATCTGGAGTTTTGGCTAGCTTGTGAAGAATATAAGAAAATCCCCTCCAAAGCAAAATTAGCGGCCAAAGCCAACAGGATCTTTGAAGACTTTGTTCAGAATGAGTCTCCCAGGGAGGTGAGTCAAATGACTTTATAAATTCAAAAGTCAATCACACAATCTCAAAGCAGACTTTTTTTTTGAAAATTCGCCTGACCCTAACAGGGTTCTTCAGAAAGGTACTTAATAGGAAGAAGAAGCTCAGTTATTGGGAGTAGGTATTAATTTTTCTGCTGAGTCATGCAGTTTTCTACAGGGTCTGTGTTACAATAGGATTACTTTAACTTTTGATCTGTCTTCAGGTAACATGTTGCACATAATCAGGTTCATCTACTGCATGCAGATTCAGCTTCAAGATATATCTTTGTGTTGTCAACAATGCCTTTACAATGGGAAGGGCATGAAATTATCTAAGATTATCTAAATTGGCTTTTCCAGTTTGGTGCTTGCCATCTGATCTAGCTATAGCTCCCGTACCCAGGAAGGGGAAGATGAATATAAGTGCTTTTGCTGATAGTGCATAGCAAGAGAAAGGCTCAGAGGCCCAAAGGAGGACAGGTGAATGGAGCAGTTTAGATTTTTCCATGTAGAGAATATTTGTAACTCAGGTTGTGGATTTTGGCAGTGGTTCGTTCTCTGAGCTTGCTGTTTCCTTCCTGACATTTCATTACCAGACTAGGCAACATCTTCAGTGGGACTTCAGGTGAAGTGTTTCGTTCAGTTTTTCTTCTGCTTATATAGATCCTATGTGGTGTTGTGGTCAGTTGGTCACGTGACTGTTTGCATGGCACAAAATTCAACTGGTGGTCAGTTTCATCGCTGATGTTGTTTGGATGGTCCAGTTTCTTATGGGTTCATATAAGTCAACATGTTTCTAAGTCAGTGTGGATGGATCCACTAACAAACACATTGACTTAGAACCAGTATATGAACCTATAAGAAACAGGACCATCCAAGCAGCCAATCATTGACAGAACTGACTATCTCCTCACCAATGGAATTTCGTACCATGCAAATTAGTCACCCAAAGTCCCATGGAAGATGTTACTTAGTCTGGTAATGAAACGTTTGGGAGCTAAACAGCAAGCTCAGAGAATGAACTGCTGCCAAAATTCTTCCATGTATTTGAGAATATCCCACCTTGCAAAGCAATTTTCAGTGTTCATTCATAATTGCTTGCTTATTCAGAGTCGATTTCCAGAAGCTTTTGACCTGCATCTACTTTGCAGGTCTTTCACTGCTGAATTCGCTTTTTAAAGAAATGGAAAATTCTTCCATCCAGACCTATAATTCAGAAGCTTTTTTGTGATGCAAGAGATTTCCTACTTCTGTTATGGTGTTGCAATATACCCTATATTGTATGTGTTGTTTCTCATTCATCAAGTTATAACCAAGGATGTATATTCACCATATTTTTTCTCCTTTAGGTAAATCTCGACCATGAAACTCGAGAGGCAACCAGAAGGAATCTTGCTGGGGCCACTTCTACATGTTTTGAAGAAGCACAAGCAAAAACATACATCTTGATGGAGAAAGACTCCTATCCCAGATTTTTGAAATCTGCTTATTACAGAGACTTGATTGAACAAGCAAATAGCCACAGAACAGGCAAACCTGCACACACCTGAGCCAATCCCTTATCATCATCTGGAACTGTGTTGGGGAACAGAGACACAGAATGAAACTGGAGATGCTGGAATCCAAATGGAGGGTGCTAAGAACATTTCCATTGCAGAGCTTTGGTTTTTCCTGGCCTGGATGCCCGGGACCGCCAATGCTTCCATGCACCCAGCAGTTCTACTAAATGTAGACCTTCTCTAGAAAAGAGGCTGCGAGTTGAAAATACCGAGAGAGCCTATGAAAAAGAAATTGATGCAAGGAAGACTCAGGTCTCCAGATAGGAAGAGAAATGCAACAGGAAAGGGAATGAGAAATTTGTGGAAAAGGTGGATTTTGATTCTCTCCTAAAATGTTTACAATTTTTGGAGAGATCTCTGTGCATTCATCTGTTTGAACTGGTGATAGCCTCCATCCACTCTCAAAAGCTAGTCTCTGCACCTATAAACACAGACCAAAAACTGTACATAGCACAATTCTCATAACTTGTATACACAACATACACCAGTTTGAGATTTCTGCCCATTGCATGTCAGCCTCAGAGGCCTTCAATTCTCTGCATGTTTGTACAGTGACCATCTTGGTGTTCCAGAGCTTTACATCCAAATGGTTTTGCATTTATACTCAAGAGGAAGGCTGCATCTGCTTTGCTACTTCATACATCTCAATCTTCTACCATCTTGGACAGATTTCATTTTAAAGACATTTGAAAGATGACCTTGTTTTATTTATCTCTGAACATTATATGCAATCTTGGGAAATGTGCCCTATTTTTTAATTATTTATATTTATTATTGTCATTTTATTGTTATTTATTGTGATGGGGCATTAGATAAGCACAGCACTTTAGAAGTAGGTACTTTGGATAAACCATTGCTACAAAGAGCCTACAATTGAAAGTTGGCCTTTTTAGCCACATTCATATCATTTACAGAATATACTTATAGGGGACATTTACAGATTTTTTTAAAAAAAGAGGGAGACAGGCAAGACCACCTTTGCAAATATAAGTCCCTCGGAATTGTTAGTTTACCTCATAAACTAGTTTTATCAACATGCTGATACATATATTTAGCCATTTAAAGCTCATTTGATAGTGTGAATGTGGAAAAAGAAGGGACAGATTTTCCACTGAACAATTTCCTGCTTGCTTTATGGAGATAATTTGTATCATCACTGTTGAATGGATGGTGTAAAACTTAAATTCCAGGGCTTCATTTCACAAATCACTTGTTGAACATTAGATTCAGTGAAAGTTGAAAATAACACATAACCAGTAGGATAGTTCATTTGTGACTTTCCTTCGTTAGGGTGTACTTTTCTAGAGCACTATACTGTATTTAAATTAATGACAATTGTTCATATCCGTGTGAAACTATCAGTAGCTCAATTGAGACATATATAGATCAGAGAGTTCAGAGTGACTGAACCCCAAGTAACATTTAAAATACCATATATCCTGTCTCTCTTGTTTAACCAGCTGCAAAATAAATAATTGTAAGCCTGTTTAGAATTGTTTATATGATTGAGATACTGAAAACAGCTGGAAAGAAACCAAAGTTTCACACAATGACTTAGCAAGTTCTATTGCTTTTGACCACTAGTTTTTAAGTGCATGTTCAGAACTGATTGTAGGATCGTGTGACATGGGAGTGAGCTATTATAAATACATATTGTATTACTCATCCTCATTTTAATACCAACACAATACTTTCATCGGACAGTTTTCTATGTTTGGCTGAGAGTCTTGAGTGTTCAAGCAAAATAGGATCATGTGGTAGAAATGGATATATAAACTAGTTTTCCATTTCATTTGTGGAGTCTTTAGCACAGATATAGAGAGAAAAAGGACAGAAGAGATACATTTAAATTGAGCAACACTATATATCAGCCGTCTCCAACTTCATGGCCTCATGATGTGTTGGACATTTTCAGAATTGCCAGCCAGATGACTTGGTTGAATAAAATTTGTGATCTAACCATTCTGGAACAGTACCGCAACTATATTTGAGTTGTACTTCTTAGCTGTGGTTAAACAGCTATCATAGATGCTGGTAAATGGACAATGCCTATGAAGATGAATGTATCTGTTTTTTTCTGCAGTAGGAGTCTTGAAAATAAGTTCTTTATCCATTGTCAACATTTCTAGATGAGATGCATCTCAGGCCAAATATAAACATAATATAAAATATAACTAAGAAATATTAGAGACCCTTCCAGTGTCCAACTATAAAGTGGTTAGAGCAGCCTTGTAGTTCCTCTGGTCAAAACAGTAGGGAGTCCCTTCTCTAATCCAAACTGACATCATTCTCATCTAAAAATCCAAACTGGGATTCAAACTTTGCTAAGGGCTTGGATATGTGTTATTTACTCACCGGTGGAAGTGGTTCTATATTCCTGTTCTTTCACTGAATGATTGAGATACTGCACTGTGGTTTCATGAATGTTGTATTGTCTTTATTTGAAAAAATAAAACAATTGCAGATACCACAGAAATCTCTTTTCTGAAAAGTGAGGGAAAGATTGGGGGGGAAAGGACTTGCTACATGAAGCATCAGCCACTATCTGTTTTTCTCTCTCATACACCCTCCTGGATGAAATAAGGACTTTTGTCAAGAAATGTCACCCAGGATGTCCCAAAGAACTGAGGAAGTTTCTTGGATGAAAAGCAAAACATTTTCAAGCAAAAAAAAAAACCCCACCCCAAGAAAGTCCAGTTGCCTTTTGAAAAGCACGTTTGGGACAACCATGACCTGGATGATTGAGAATCTCCATAGATATGTTACCCAGGATGAAAATTAGAATAAAAATTCAGCATAGTGTTAGCAAATTCCCCTTTCTGCGAAGGAAAATACTTGACATACACGCACACTTTATGCACAACTTGGAGTCAGTATTTAATGCTAAAAAGCACAAATTCAACTTCAAGATCCTACCAAGTATAAAAAGTTAAAGATTCGTGAACCTGCCTTACAATTTACTTCAGTAATTTCTCAGAGGAATCATGCTTTAGGGAAGGGGGGATAATGCAATTTAACCATAAAAATTGGCTCACAATATTCATATTCCTGGCTATTAAACCATTTTGACTTCAGGAACAATCAATTATGATTGCATTGTTCCAAAAATCTCTGACCGCATTGTTCCACAGCACACTTGATTAACCAAATGCATGAAGATTGAAACAGCCCATAAACCTGCCTAACCACATATTTCCAATTTGATGGACAAACTTACCAGCAAATTAAAGGCACACCTATGGGATCACCGTTTTCAGGACTTATTGTGGAGGTCATTATGCAACGTCTAAAAGCCATAGCACTTCCACTAATATAACCCAAAATATGGATCAGATATGTAGATGACACCTTCACCATAATAAAAAAGAATCTATTAGAGAACACTCAAAGAACCATCAACAACATGTTCAAAGGAATGCAGCTTACCAGAGAAGAAGAAAGCAATAACTTACTACCCTTCCTGCACATACTGATCAGCAGAGACCACAATAGCAAACTAGAAACACAAGCATACAGAAAAACCAACACCAACCAAGTGTTCCACAACCACAGCAACAACGCAATCTCCCACAAGAGAAGCTGTGTAAGAACTTTATTTTGATGAGTACAAACTCTTTGCAGCAACTCTGAACAGCAGAAAAAGGGAAAAGAGCAGCCGTAGAACATATTCCAACAAAATGGATATCAACACAATTTTATCAGAAAGTGTCCGACCACTCAACCCAATACAGCACAACCAACACAGGCCCTAAAAAGAATAATACTGCCATAGGTCAAGAACATCTCAGAAACCACCAGCAGATTACTACAACCGCATGGAATTAGCGTAGCACAAAACTCGTCAGCCCAAAAAGAATACCATGGTCGAAGCTATTGAAAGCCACCAAGAGGTCAAAAAGAACAAAGATGGATGGACCGCCTCCATCCTATTCCTCTTAGAGATCATCCATGAGTGCCACCAATACAGTTTTGGTCCGATATTTGGCCTGGAAACCTGACTAAAAAGGGTTCAGACCACTCCAGGCTGCGGGGATCGGTGGCGGCAGAACTAGACAAAAATGCGACATGTGGAGGTGGCGATCGGTGGCGATGTGCTATGACAATCCTAGCAGCCTGGAATGGGTCTAAAACAGAGCATGCAGAGGCTGAAAATACGACACGTGGAGGCGGCGATCAGTGGTGGGTTTCTACCGGTTCGCGCTGGTTCAGGCTAACCGGTAGCGGTAAAAGTCAAAAAATATTTTATTGCTAATCCTTTTAGACTATTCTGTCACTCCTTTTCTTCTGAAAAAAGTTCACATATCCTTTGCATCTTCATACCTATGCATTGCGGACTTAAAAGTATTCTTTGTTTAAAAATGTTCTTCTTAAAACTTTACTGACTTCACAGTAAACTCTACCAGCATGAAATGTGCTATTCCTATTTCTTATTTCTCTCCTATATCTACTGTCTTTCAAATCACTTCAAGCCACCTGACTTCCAAATAATGGGTGACAAAGACTTCCTCCTGCAAAGTTTCCTCCTTTGTACATCAGACCTTTCTACGTTACCTTGGTTCTCAGAGGAGTGAACAGTGTGTAAGAAGAAGACAGGCTCCAAATATTTGCTACATGAAGCACCTCCATTTTCTTTGGTGCTTCACACTGATGTTCAAGACAATTATTTTGGGTCTTCAGACAGAACATCCCATTGGTTTGTTCATCTTTGTACGAATATATACCCTTATTTTCCCCAAAATAAGACATCTCCTGATAATAAGCTCAATTGGTCTTTTGAGCACATGGCAATAAGGACAAGTGCTTATTTCAGGGTTCAAAAAAATATAAAACAGGGTCTTATTTTTGGGGAAACACAGTAGTTTAAATCCTTTCTCAATACAAAAGTATCTCAACTTGGTAGACAAAATAGAAATTTATGCACAGAGATGCTCTCACATATCCATATGAAAGAACAAGTATCAGGAGAACCTTTGTAAACATCAGGAGAAAAACCTTTTTACAATTAAATGCCACAAGAGAGAAAAACATGACATTCAGCAATTCTGCATAGCCCGTAAAATAATCCCAGCTATCAGCTACATTTGTAACCAAATTTGTAAGACAGGCCTAGATATAGTCCCATCCCAAATCAAGTAGTATTTCACATACTACAAACAGCTACTTTAATGCTGGAAAGTCAGTGGTATCACTCTGTCATATGTTCCAACACTAGTTTTTTTGGAGCAAGTGAAAAGCAATCTCCAAGTCCCCTAAAGAGAATTGCTAGGTAGAATTGTTAAGTAATTCATTTCTATCTTCAGTGTCACACAGTAGACCAGACCAGGAAACCAAACTCCACAGGAAGACTGGAACAATACTTTATTGAAATGGGCTATAATAACAAAATCTTGCCAGCCTGATTGTGCTTTACCTTCTCTCTACCAGGGAGGAGTTTGGTATGAGTCATTTCCAAATATTACCTTGCTTCCTGGACTTAAAGAATGTTCTAACCCTCTTTGCTTATACAATGGTTCTTGCATAACTGCCAAGGTCATCTTCTCTTCTCTCTACAGCAGGGATCCCAACCTCCGATTCATGGACCGGTACCAGTCCACGGCATGCCAGAAACTGGGCCACTCAAACAAGGATGCAAGCAGCACATGAACCCATGCCTCCTCCGGCCTGTGGAAAAACCTCTCTCCATGGAACCAGACTGGTGCCTAAAAGGTTGAGGGCCACTGTTCTATAGACATCAACAGATCATCAGCTTTGGTTTTTGGAAAATTCCCCAGAGCATTGAGGAATCCATTTCTAAGGATGGACCATCTTAGGATCTCTCACCCACATGGGAGAGATGATGCGACGAAAGAAGATTCATTCAACTGTGATTGAACCACGAAGATGAAATAACAATAGCTGTTCTGTCCCCATCTCACACACGCACACAAACAGATATCCAGGGGTTAAATAAAACTGGCAGACAACAAATTCTTTCGATAAGAGGATTGGCAGCAACCCAGTAGCTGCTTGCCAAGAACTTTACCCATAAAGGGAGGGGTTGTTCCTCCGACAGATAAAGCCAAACAAGATACACACAGTTCAAGAATTGTCAAGTCCAGTCCGTATTAAATCCAAGGCAGGTATCGTTGTTGCAAAGATACAATGTGACTCGCTAGTAGTTAGTTTTGTCCATCACAGAGTCTGAATGGCCACCTCACCCCCTTATATCCCCTGTGGGGTGTGGTCCAGTGACTCAGCTTAATCTCTGGCACGCCTCCTTTTCTGCTGCATGCGCTTGTCTCTCCGACGCTGGCGTGGATCCAGCCAAGACTTATCTCCGTCACTGTCTGGCTGTGAGGAGATATCTGGCTCCTGGCCAATCTCTTCTCCCTCGGGAGACACCTGAGGCATTGCCAGAGAGGAGGGTCCTGGAGAGGGAGGCCTGGCCAACTCCTCTCCTTCATGTTCGGAGCCTTCTCCCTCCGATAAATTGGCCTCGGGGGTCGGAGTCACAACAGTACCTGCAATGAGGCAATACTAAGTATTCAGTGGAGGCCAAATCAGGTCATTCTGGGATATTTCAGTTGTCTATATATCTCCTGTATTTCATACGTTACCTGGGGGTTTCTTCAATCTGCTGCCCTCTAATATGTTTTTAGCATTGCTCTATATTGACTGAATCCAACATATCTGGAGGCACCAATTTGAGGAAGACCACTTTATTCAGATTTTGACTTTTATTACAGCCATACACAATCCTGTCAAATTTCCCCAATGGTGAGGAAACCAACTCCTATAACTAGAAGTTGTAGGAGTTCAAATCAAAGACATCTACTTATAGGGTACAAGGTAGAAAAACATGGAGCCCACTTCTGAACAGTAGAGTAACGTCACTTTTCTTTGGCTTCCCTGAGCAGTTGTTGCCTCACACTTGTGAAGTACTGTATGGCTTTTTGTCCAGTGAGGTCAGAACATAATGGCCATGGAAATTATATACCTTCCTGTCTCAACTTGATGCAAAACTTCCCAATCTTGTGTGACTATGAATTGGGGTGATATAACTTATTTAGAAATTTCCCCCAATACTGAATTTTGGGCAAAATGATGGGATCTCTGGGGTGGGGGGGGGAAATCTCATCGGAGAGACCCATCTTACTTATGCTTGGCTGATGATTTTAGTTGGTTCGATGTATTTACATTAAGTTGTTGTTTTACGGGGTATTCCGTTTGGTTCCGCACATCTTGTGGCCACTAATATACACTGCTCAAAAAAAATAAAGGGAACACAAGCAGAAGACATCCGAGATCTGAATGAATGAAATAGCCTTATTAAATACTTTGTTCTTTACATACAGTAGTTTTGTGTTCCCTTTAGTTGTTTGAGCAGTGTATAAACTACTGTATGTAAAGAGCAAAGTATTTAATAAGGCTATTCCATTCATTCAGATCTCGGATGTCTTCTGCTTGTGTTCCCTTTATTATTTTTTTTGAGCAGTATATATTTAAAGGGATCCGAATCTGAAATATTTTTTTTCTCCTGTCCCTTTAACCTGCAAGTCCCACTGTTTCTAGTCTTGTTTCTATTTTCAAAGTTGCAGACCGACAGAGAGCTGGGCGACTCCCGAAGACTCCCGACGCTCCGCCCGTTCATTCGCGTCCTTTCACTTTCGAAGATTTCTTTCCTCTTTTCTCTTCCCACATCCGCCTCTCCTCTACCAGCCACCGCCTTTCCTCAGACCTTGGACCGCCACCGCCGCCTGCAGAAGTCAGAACTAAGGCAGTGGGAAAACGAGGAATCCGCTATCCGCTCGTCGGGAAAGGAAGCTGGAGCCTAGGAGAATTCCTCCTCTCCTTCGGGTTGAGCCAATAAGCCTCAAGCGGCTGCCCTGCGAAAGGAGAAGGCGAAATTGGGCGCTGGAGGAGGAAGAGGAAGCAGTTGACGGTGAACGCTGTTGGTCTCTTTACGGAACAGTGTCAGACTTAGAGGAACGAAGAGTCTCGCATAAACAGGGCCTCGGTGGAAGAGGGGCGAATGGCGGGGTTTTGGATCGCCTTCCCTCCCTCTCCCCCGGCCCCCACCCCGCTCCGAGAGAGTGGATGTTTTTAAGAGGCGCTCGGTAGGCAAATTCAACAGGGGAAGTTAATGCCCCTCTTAGCATCGCTCATCACGGTATCCTTTTGTTTGTTAGGCAGGAAAACTTCTTCTGCACCCCAGGGGATTAGGAGCAGTTTGGTGTGTGTGTGTCAGAACTGGTAGAAAAAAAAAAGTATATTCCGGTGTTATTTCCTGTGGCTGAATTTAAGTGAGCAAAAGTCGAATTGGTTAGTTTTACATATCAGGCAAACTGCTCGACTTGGATTAAATCAATCCGATAATTGTGTGCGGTGCAGATCTGTCAGGAGAATAACCTTATACCTATTTAATTCAGAAATAACCTGAGTTCTCCCCTTGAGGTAAATGGGTATTGAGAAGGACTCAAATAGCTGCACAGAAATGCCAAGGTAGACATCATTGGGCAGGATTTAGGAAACTGAAACCTGCAGGAAAATAATAAACTCTGCCGCTGAGTTATAGTTCCTCTGAACATTGAATAATGCAGGGCCAGGAGGAATTAGGAAGTGTGCTGGAATATGACCGTGCAGGATTGGCTTACTAAAAATGTAGTATTTGGCTTCAGATGTGGAAATTGTTCCATGCATAGCAGAGCTGGGATATGAAATGAAATATATCAATAATCAGGTTAAGTTTAAGGAGTAGATTCTATAAAGTTGCAAAGATGGGTACAATGCAAATACAGTTTGGCAATCACAATTTAGATTGGCAACTCAGTCATTATGTGAAGCAGTCACTAAGTGAAATTGTGATTGCTTATGATCCTACTTCAGTTTTCTTTTGTTCTACAGACTTGCAGAGGTTGTAAATGCAAGGATTAGTCATAAAATTACCCTTTCATCATCATAGTAACAGTGAAAGGTCGCTAAATGAAGACTTCCTGTAGCAACAGAGGTCTCAGGCTGGCAGGAAATCTAAAACTGTTGCTTCACAATCCACAATCAGTCAGATGTTTCTAAGAATTTCTCCTGTGGATAGGAATAGTTCTTTCATTCATTCAAACGGTCGATGTCCCCATAACTGTGTTCATGTTTATGTTATACAGTAATAGAACCTGGAAGTCTAATATAATCCTCTTTCTTGAGAATTGAAAGAAGCCTGCAGAAAAACCATGGAAGCAGAATTAAATGTTGCTGTGAAAAAAGGTAAACTTGAGCTCGTTCAACAGCTGGTGGAAGATGGAGCAGATGTTAATGCAAAGGTGGAAAATGGCTGGACACCTCTCCATAGTGCTGTACAAAGAAATTCTGAAGAGATTGTTAACTTTCTGCTGGAAAATGGGGCTGATCCATTCGCAAAGAAGGATAATGATGCTACACCTTTTATTTTAGCAGGCGTGACAGGTAATGTGAAGCTTTTGAAACTTTTTCTTGATAAAGGCTCATGTATTAATGAGTATGACATCAATGGCTTCACCGCATTCATGGAGGCTGCTTGTTATGGGCAAGAGGAGGCCCTGAAATTTTTATATAAGAATGGGGCAGATGTAAATCAGCGTCGTGAAGTTGATGTGACTAAAAAGGCTGTGAAAAAAGGAGGTGCGACAGCTCTGATGGATGCTGCAGGTCATGGCCATTTTGCTCTGGTCAAAATCTTGGTTGAGGAAATGGATGCTGATGTAAATATCTGTGACAATCAAGATGGAAATGCATTGATCCATGCTCTCTCTGAGGACAAAGACTGGAATAAAGGCAGAGAAGACTCGGCCCTTTTCCTTCTGAAAAACAACATTGATGCCAGTAAGAGGGATGCAAATGGGAAAACGGTGCTCATATTGGCTGTTGAAAGAGAAAGCCTGGATCTTGTGAAGGCCATATTAGAATTAGATGAAGTTGATCTTAACGATGCTGATGAAAATAACGAAACAGCATTGCATGTAGCAGTGAAGAAGAAAAACAATGCAATAGCAAAGCTACTATGTGAAAAAGGAGCAAGAGTAGATGATGAAGTCCTGGATATTGCCCATAGAAATTACCAAAGCAATTTGATAGAACTTCTTCAGACATACGAATCGCCGGGCAGTCCAAGGCAGCCAGAAATATGTAAGGAATTCTCTACCAATCGCTGGAGAATTAAACTCCAGAAACTCAATCAAATGCATCGTCCTATGATTGGCAAGCTCAAGATCTTTCAATATCAAGATTTATGGATCCAGAAGACCACCCAAGGAGGGGTCTACCTGGGATTCTATGCTGGACAAGAGGTGGCTGTGAAGGTATTCTGGAAGGATTCAGAAAATGCCAAGCGAGAAGAAGTGTGCCTCAAAGAATGCCGAACCAGCAAATACCTGGTGAAATTTTGGGGCTCGGAAACGAGGAAGGCCTGTCTCTATCTGTGCCTCTCCTTGTGTGAAAAGAATCTTCAAGAGTACTTCAAGGAAGAAAACAACACAACTATGGAAAGCAAAAAGATTCTTAAAATTATATTTCAGGCTGTAAATGAACTTCATGCATTTGGATTTGGCCATCAGGATCTGCACCCAAGTAATATTTTGATAGGTTGGTGTTTTCTTTGGCAGTCTGCCCATTTATTCCAGTGTAATCCATTTAAACTTTAGTGGCTATATATGGAACAGCAGATTCACAATATTTTGTTGCCGAGAGTGTTTTGTTGTTTTCAGCCTTCCCTATATAATGTTAAAAAGCCCCAGTTCGGCACTTTAGCAAACCATTAACAATTTCATCATCATAAGTGTCAAAACTGCTTATCATTTAAAAAGGTCCCAGAGTCACCCTAAGGTAGTTTTGTTTGGTCATCTGTACCATAAAAGAAAATTTCAGTGCCCCATGAAAGCTGATGATTTCCTTCTCCTCCAAGAGTTCTGTGAAATGAAGGTTTAGAAAGGAAAGGACGAGATCTCATTTTTGTAGTTGAAGGTTGAAAGGTTGAGAAGAGGTGATGACTGCTCCCCATCATGTTGTCTTCCCATCAGGGACTTTCCCTCCATTCTAAAACCAATATTGGCAAAGATTTGGTTTTAGGAAGAAACTGCCTGCAGTGACTGCATGTTGAGGGGAAGTCAACAGTGATTTATTTTTCTGTGCAATCCTTCAATTCAGATTCAATTCCATTCAGACATCCTATGTAAAGCCTTTCATAACTATGTTAGCTGAGGAGGTTCACCCATTCTGAGCTCATTAGAATGGAAAAGAAGAGTAAACTCCTTTCCCTCGTATTAGCTGACGCTGCCCAATAATCTGGGCAGCTCACAACAATCAAGGAAATTGCAATAAATCCAATAAAACAGAGGTGTCAAACTTGCGGCTCGCGGGCCAGATGCGTCACGTGCTGGCCATGCCCACCCCTGGTTTAGCAAAGGGGGAAAAAGTCACGATACATCACATGACGACAACGTGACACTGTGAATTTGACACCCCTGTAATAAAAGATAAAAATGAAAGAGAATAAGTCTTCCAAAAGCCTAAACGGGGGTATTTTTTCATTGTAGTTAGTGAAAACAAAACAGCTTCATTAACTCTGTGTGAAATCAAATTGCTGGTGGGAATGTTCTTTTCAGTGCAAGAATATTTCTCCCATCCCTTCTGCAAAATCTGGACCATCCCATCCCATCCCATCCCATCCCATCCATCAAAATCTGGATCCTCAGAATAAGATTGAAGGGCCTGGAGAGAAAGACAAGTTAAAATTGTATTGTGCAAGGAGAACTGATTCCTGGATAAATGTATGGTTTGAAAGTTGCTTGTTTACTAAAAACTGTTTATATTAAGTTGTCTAGGCTAATATTGTAAGGTGCCCAGAGTTATTGTGTGGCAAGATGGGCAGCTAATAAATTTTAAAAATAAATAAGTAAAAATAAATCTACATTTAATCAAAAGCAAATATAAAAATGAACAAGCTTCTCTTGTGTCATAGGCAATGGACAAAGCCCAAGGATAATACATTCCTATAACACTGCAATAATGATTTAATAGTTTTAAGTAAATCAACTCACTTGTGCATTAGGGTAAATTAAGTAAGACAATATTTCCAAAAACAGATCACTTGCCTTATGCAAAATAAATGTGTTTTGCTGATGGGTCTGTTCTCAAAAGATAGTGGTAAAATTGTTGCCATTACTTCAATTCAGTTTTCAAAGAATTTATACTTTCTATAAATATATCTATCAATTTATTTTTTACTTTGTTAGATTTCACTGGCAAGATTTTCCTAGCAGACTTTGATAAGAGCAGAGAAATAACTGATGATACAAAATATTCTGTAATCTCAGAAGATCTACAGGTAAATAATTATCTTTATCTGTCTCTAATCTTCTACATTCTGCAGAATGTTAAATGTAATTATAATCTCCAAAGAACAAGAAAAATAAATGCAATATTGGTTCTAGTCTACAGAATTTTTTTCCATAAAAACCTAATATATGTTATGGTATTTTTATTTCTGAAAATCTCACATACCCGGTTATACTTAATAATTTACATCTATTTCTAAAATACAAATTAGATATGGTGTTCTATTTTAAAAAATAAATTGACTTTTTTTTTTTTTACAGATCTACAGTTCTGCTAGTCATTCTTGTGCTGATGTGAATCTTACCAGAGTGACCATTTTGGGAAAGCTACCATGCTATTTCACTCCATTTAAGTTGTCCACTTAGTCTATGGAGCAAAGCAAATCATAATTTACAAGTTATAGTTTTACTATTTGGTGATGGGTATGCTTAGTACTTCCTGCATTAGTTAAAGTGAACTAGCTACAATCTGGTTCCAGAATTTACTGTCCTATGAGAATCCAGCTGTAGCATATAGGTTAAAGGAGGAAATCCGCTCTAATTGTTCTGGGATGATATAGACATTTGTTTGTGCACACAGGGTCTCCAAAAACTTATCCTGTATGTTGTGATGAGAGGTCAGAAGGGCTTTGAACATTTGCCTAAAGAATGTCCAAAGGATGTAGAGGAGAATATAAAGGAAATTGAAGACCTGCGACAAAGACTGGAACTCTCTGACCAAACTACCCTAGCGGATAGTCTACTGGAAATGCTGATCTACCATCCATATTTCTGGTCCAAAGAGATGTAAGTTAATACAAGAAATTTTGTAACTGGCTAATTTGACTTGATTGTCTGATTATTAGCATAATAGCCATGGGAGAAGGAGTTTTACAAGAAGAGCTAGAATGAAATTATGCAATCTGTTCATTGCTGATCTTTTAAATTAAAAAAAAAAATTGTCCTCAGCATTGAATTCCAGGAATTGATTACATGGCTTATAATTTATTTTATCATCTCAATGGGCAGATATTGTTGAGAACAGTGCAATTAATAGGGAGAAAAAGTTGCTATCAGAATTGTCCCATTGTATTTTCCTTGCAAGGATGAGATGGCACACAAGGATATTATTAGTCATTCAGTAAAATATTTCATTTAAGCTGTGATGATGAGCATGCTACAGATATCAAAGCAAAATTGGCATTAAAAGTCATTAAATGCAGCCAGTTCTCAAAATACTAACACAGGATACTGATTGTGATATGTCTCTGAAAGATAATTCTGAATTTAAGGCAGTCACCCCATTTCTATCACCAAAGAAGAAGCAAACAGAAATGAATGATAAACATTATAAAACCAATAAAATGCCAGTTTCCCTATCTTGTCAATATAGAGTTGCAAACTCTAAACTGAAACTAATGCTAGAATTCCACCCCACCTCATAATAAAGAGTCACCAGAAGTTGGGCAGCATATAAATTTAATAGTAAGCATAAGTACAATAGAATGACTGTGCTAAAAGAAAGCAAAGGTGTACCAATACTAATAGGTGCTTTGGGTGCAAATCCCAAATCATGTCCATGCAACTCCAATAACCTCCTATTTCTCAAAGTCTCCCACTCTTTCATCCATACCAGACATCCAATTTTGGTTATCACAATATAACAATATGTTGAGACTCTAGAAAAAGTGTAGAGAAGAGCAGCAAAGATGATTGGCAAACCGGAGGCTAACACATATGAAGAATGGTTGCAGGAATTGGATATATCTAGTAACTAGTTTAATGACAAGAAGGAGTGATGGGGTGACATGATAGCAGTGTTCCAATATTTCAGGAGCTGCCATAAAGAAGGGGGGGGATGTCAACATATTTTCCAAAGCACCTGAAGGCAGGACAAGAAGCAATGGATGGAAACTAATCAAGGAGAGAATAAATCCAGAACTAAGGAGAAATTTCCTGACAGAACAACACAAGCGACGTGGCGCTCCCATGTAACGCCTCTCCTGCGCGAGCTGCACTGGCTCCCGGTGGTCTTCTGAGTGCGCTTCAAGGTTTTGGTCATCACCTTTAGAGCGCTCCATGGCTTAGGACCTGGTTATCTACGGGACCGCCTGCTACCACCAATAGCCTCCCACCGACCAGTACGCTCCCATAGAGAGGGGCTCCTCCGGGTGCCGTCGGCCAAACAATGTCGACTGGCGGCCCCCAGGGGGAGAGCCTTCTCTGTGGGGGCACCTACTATCTGGAACGAGCTCCCCCCCGAGATACGGAGGATTCCGGATCTGCGTACCTTCCGTCGCACGCTGAAGACGTTCCTATTCCAGCAAGCCGGCCTGACCTAAACTTCTCCTCTTTTAAATGGGAATTTTAAATTTGGTTTTAAATTATTGGGGTTTTAAATATGGTTCAGCCAAATTTATCTAACTTGTTTTATTTCTATTTTAAATTTTGTATTGATATGTTTTATTTCATGGCTGTTCACCGCCCTGAGTCCTTCGGGAGTAGGGCGGTATACAAATCTAATAAACAAACAAACAAACAATCTGTGGAATGACTTATCTTCAGAAGTTTTGGGTGCTCCATCACTGGAGGTTTTAAGAAGACATTGGACTTTTACTTGTCTGAAATAGTATAGGGTCTCCTGCTTGAACAGTGGGTTGGGCTAGAAGACCTCCAAGGTACCTTCCAACTCAATTATTCTGATATTCTGAAATGTTAGCCTCCCTTCCCACAAAATCCCATCACAAAACAGACCATGGGATTTATGAAGTCAGTGTTTGCTTCCATCTATCTTTCAGAGACTAAGGGCTTTTCCCACTGCTGTGTCATAGTGCTCTCTACTCATCTTCAGGTCAAGCAGAAAACCACACTGGTATAAAATTAGCTGTGTTGTGGCCTTTGTTCCTAAGAAATGGCCTTATACAACTTGTGGCTGACACTGGTTACATTAGGTTTTTTGTGGGTGGATGGGAATAGTAGTAGAACTAAGGATGACTTACGGCTGTCTCCGTCACTGGGGACAAGGTGAAGATAATATTACAGGGAGCTGGCACACATCCCAAAGGAAAATTGGGATGTCATGACCAGTGACAACCAGAAGCAATACTGAAGAATCTATCAATCTACTGGAAAAACATGCTCAAATGCCAACGTGTAACTCCTTTGGGTTTCATTAAGAACAAAGTAAATGGGCAGCTAGCATGCTGCCAAAGGGAAGATTGTCTTCTAGCATTATCTTTACTTTCAAATACATTTTTGGGCAATGGGTAGTCACATAAAAATTAAAATAGAGTATGGGCATAGTGATCAGTTTGGAAATGTGTGCTTTCCCAGAAAGCCAACATAAATCTATTGAGGGGGGTAAAGAGCACCATGCCAATTTAGAGGGATAGAAGGGTTTCTAACAAATGAGTCTTCGGTGGTAGCCATGTCCAACCAAGATAGTTATTTTTGTAACAATGCAGGTGTTCTTGGCAGCTCTTTTTTTGAGAGGACCCACAATATGCCATCCAAACTACCTGCAGTCACTTCCTAACTTTGAAGTTAATATGCAAAGTATATCATCCACACCACTTTTCATCCAGTAGTAATATATGCCATTTCTTAAAATTGTCTTTTGTTCTACAGAAAGTACAGGGTGTTAAGAGAAATCGGGAATGAGATACGTACGGTTTATAACACAAATAAAGATGACATTCCGAATGCTTTGAGATTTACGGATGATCCTTTCATGAACTGGAAAGAAAAGGTAATCTCTTGAACAACAACAAAAAAGTTAGGAACCATTTTGCATCTTCCACTTTAATGCTTCTATTATATCCAGTTTTTGCCTTTTTTTGGAGCTGGCTGTGCTAGCTAATTGGTTTGATGTCAGCTTCTGCTAGTGACAAACAGCTAAAGTCTCACATGAGCAGTTTATCATAGGCATGTTTAGTCAACATCAGGGGTGAAATGCTCCCGGATCGGACCGGATCGCCCGATCCAGTAGCGATGGCAGCGGGTGGTTCGGAGAACCGGTAGCAAAAATCCCTGCCCCCCCCCAATGCCCAGCTGAGCTGCGCAATCATCAGAGGCTTTTTAAAAAATTTTAAAAGCATTTTTTCTACAACCTCTTCGGCCAAAAAAATGCTTTTAAAAGTAAAAAAAAAAGCCTCTGCTGATCGTGCAGCTCAGCTGGGATCGTCAGAGGCTTTTAAAAGCATTTTTTCTACAACCTCTTCGGCTGAAAAGGTTGTAGAAAAAATGGTTTTAAAAGTAAAAAAAAAAAAAGTTGGCCACTCCCACCCACCCACATTACCCCCACCACCACCAAGCCACGCCCACAGAACCAGTAGTAACAAATTTTACATTTCACCACTGGTCAACATCCATTATTGAGAGACAATGTATGCAATGGTTAAAAATTGACTCCACTTGTATATTTATCTTTAAAATCCTCTGAATCGGTATGTTAATTTGAATCCAAAATTTTCTAGCTTTTTTACATATCCACCAAGCATGATAGGATAACCCTTCTTGTTGTTCACATTTCCAACATAAATTTGAAGTGCCTTTTTACATTCTAGAATCTAGATCAATTTCTCTGTTGGTATAACACAGCATAAATTTTAAACTTTTCAACCACATGTTTCCCAGTGTTCCATCTGTATATTATATTCAAAATTTTAGCCCAATGTCAAACATTCTTTTACTTGTTCTTCTGTTTCAAATTTCAGTAAAACTGTATATAGTTTAGCAATTACACAATTTTTTATTTATACACAATTCTATTTCAGGTGCAGGTCTTTTGTATACTTTAAATCTTTCTAATAACTGTAGATAAGAAAATCATTGGCAAATATATCTCTGCGAGAAGTTGTACTCCCCTTGACAATATTCTAGTATCTCACAATAAATTAGCCATTTTGTTTTCCTATTATTTTTCACCTATAAAATGCTATTTGTGCTGAGACTCACAGAGGGCACAAGCTGGGTTTTATCTATTCCATATCCTTAATAGGGCAGTCTAACAAAACAATTTTTAAAATCCACCTTAATCTTGACTTTGTCATTCCACAAATGTTCATGGCACCTAAATCTGTGGCATGTCAAGTACTTTAGACACCAAGAGCCTTCTATTTCTCAGCGGCACTGACTCTCATCCACACTAAATAGCAAGCTGCAAAATACAATTTTGAATCAGGTAGACCCACTCCTCCTCTTTCTTTTGCATCTTATAGTATTTTATATTTAATTCATAATTTAATTCATAATTTTCCACTGCCACACAAATTTAAATAAATATTTTATCACTGTTTAAATTGTGCATCAGTCATCAAAACAGATACTGTCTAAGGCAAAAACATAATTCTACGCAAAACATTTATTTTTATCGTAGAAATTCTCCCCAGCAATAAAAATGGCAGTTTCTCCCATCTTAACATGTCTTTTTTAACTTCATTCCATGCCTTAACATGGTTATTTTGAAATAACATACACTTTGTATTTATCGTAGTGATACCCAGATATTTTACTTTCGTCTCAATTTTAAAGCCTATTTTATTCATCAGTTTTATTTGATCTTTTATTTTCATGTTAGTTGTTAAAATCTTTGTATTCTGTTTGTTGAACTCAAAACCTGCTAGTGCATTAAATCAACAGTCCCCAACTTTTGTGGTTTGACGGCCCGGCTGTGGAAGAGGGGAACTGGGCCACCCGAGTGGCAGGCCAGTGTGCATGTGTGGGTGCGCCAGCTTACTGCTCACCTGAGTGGAGCAGTGTGCATGCGTGCTGGCCCACTGCTCGCGTGGTCCAGTTCCGAATAGGCTACAACCCGGTAGTGCCCTGCTGCTTGGGGTTTGGGGACCCCTAAACTAAATTTTTTAGTTTTCCCATTAATGCCTCAGAGATCTTCTAAAACTGACAGCAAATCATCTGCAAAAGACCTACATTTATGAATTTCTTTTTAAATCTTTACTCTCGCAATCCCCTCATCCTGTCTTATATTTGTATTCAGTATTTCAAGAACCAAAACAAACAAGAAAGGAGACAGTGGACTTCCTTGTCTTGTTCCTTTTTGTATTCCACAAGACTTGCTAGAACTTCATTAACAATTATTTGTGGCTTCTGTGAAGTATAAATCAATCTCATCTATTTTATGAAGTCTCCCCAAAGTTCATTTCTTCCAAAACATTGAACAAAGAAGCCCTGTTCAAATTGTCAAAAACTTTCTCTACTTTAAAGAAAATCAATACAGCTTGTTTTTCATTATGTTGCTCCAAATATTTCAAAATGTTCAACATATTTCTAATATTATCCTTTAACTGTACTTTAGGCTAAAAATTCTTATTGATCCTCATGAATAAATTCTTGCACAATTATTTTTAATCTATCAACTAAAATTGTAAACAACTTGCAATCATTATTCAATAAAGATATTGGCCAATAATTTCTTGTTAAAGTCAAACAAAATTCCTTCTCTCTCAGTTACAATAGTGCCAAATTATCTATTCTTTCTAGCTTTCTTCCTATAATATCTGTTTTACTATCCAGAATTTCTACTTTGTCTTCTATGTTTTATATCTACAGACACTTGTGTTACACAGATTTCCATCTTCTGAACTTCTTTCATTCCTTTCACCTTTACAAGTCTTTGATCCATTATTCTTTTAAAAGCTGTCAATCTAATATCAAATGATTCAGCTAACTTATTGTTCAATTCCTCAAAGATTTTCTGAAGTAAATCTGATATAATTCCTCTCTGCAGGTTGTTCTAGTGATCTCCCCACCCCTTTTTGCTGGTTTTTTTTACTGCTTTCTAGTGGAAGCCATTGTAACACTGTAATCTAAATATGAAAGTGCCTTAATTGCAAGTAAAAGAGTAAAATACCTTTTTTCACTATTGGTACCCTTAAAATTTACAAATCTCTATCTCAAATAACACTTCATAGTTACAATCAGCTTTACAGTCAGTCTCATATTACCTTTATTTTTTTGTAAAATTCATCATTTATCTGTACACTTTAATAATTAAAAAAAAAACCATATTCCCATCCATCTCATTTGTCTATTTTAATTCCAAGTTTTTGAAAAACACTTTCATACACACACACACACACACACACACACACACACTTCTACACAACCATCCCCTTCATCTGTTTTAAATTTTTTATATTCCGTCCTTATTGAGTTTTTTGCCAAACAGTTTGAAATCTTTAAACCCTACTTTTTTCCTTTTTAATCCATAAAAAGCAAGTGGACTCATCAAGTGGAATTATCTTATCATGCTGCTGAGAAAATCTTTCTTTAGCTGTAAATTAATTTTACCAGAAATTGTTTATGAAAATGAGGCTTGTGCAAGTTTGTGTGCTTATAAACTTCATTATGTGATAGGTGAGCTGGGTTGAAATCCCTTGACTGCCATCTGCATTACTCATGAGTCGACTGCAAAAAAACCCTACATTTCTGCAGTCATCTCACAAGTTCTCACAATCTCTTCTTTATCCAGAAAGACTGTGCCTGCTAGGATTCACTGTCTGGCTTTCGATTTCTGATGCAATGTCCTTCAGAGATGTCTAGTCTGCCATAAATCCTCACCCAGAAACCAACATTGTTATATCCACTGAGTTGCAAAGAATGAGTTTTATGGACCAATAACTGACCAGAATATTGCATCTTTTTCAGATTGATGAAGAAGTATGGGACTCTATGGTTAATCTGGGCAAAGAGAAAGGCAACAAGAAAAATAAGAAAGGCACAAGAACGTATGAGAAAGATGTAACAGGTTTATTAAAGTTTATTCGGAATATGGGCGAGCACTACCTTGAAAAGGACGATGAGTAAGTAAATATTTCTCTAAATTATGTACAGTATCTCTGAAGCGATCTACTGTACTTTGGATTTGCTGGCTGGCAACCTTTGCTTCTCCTTTTTCTATTGTAGTAACTAGAATACAAACCTAGAAGAAAGACAAGTCACAAACTTATCTTCATTGATCATGTCCAACTGCAGAGAAATCTGCATGCAAAAGAGGGAAAAAATTCAGAAAATTCTTCCCATATTCTGGACTCGGAATTGCTCTTGGAGCCAACAGCAACTATAACGAAAATCAGAGAGGAGACAGTAGTGACAGATTTCAGAGTGCTATTAGAAGCCATTTTCCCCAGAGTTTTAGATTCCAATCCTGCCTATGCTGTTCATGTCTCTCTGATGCTAACAAATATTCATAATATAAACTCTAATGTAGTGTAGAAGACAGGCAACTGAGCCTAAGATAAAATCCCAAGTGGGACATTTGTTAATTGGTTTGGAATAGAAAGGGGTGTTTTTAGGGGTGAGGGGAGGAGAGAAAGGAAAGGAAAAATTCTAATTATTGACATTGCATCTCCTGTAACCTCTTTCACTTCTTAATAAAAAGAAAGATTTATGGGGGCAACTCCAAAGAAATATCTGATGCTAACTATATAACTGGCATGATATAATAGACTGTTCCAAAATATGGTACAGGTAGTTCTTGATTTACGACCACAATTGAGCCCAAAATTTCTGTTGCTAAGCGAGACAGTTGTTAGATGAGTTTTGCCCCATTTTATGGCCTTTTTTGCTACAGTTGTTAAATGAATCACTGCAGTTGTTAAGTTAGGAACACGGTTGTTAAGTGAACCAGGCTTCCTCGGTGACTTTGCTTGTCAGAAGGTTGCAAAAGGTGATCAAATGATCCGGGTACACTGCAAATGTCATACATATGGAACGGTTGCTTAGCATATGAATTTTGATCACGTGACCATGGGACTGCTGCAGTGGTTATAAGTATGAGAAATGGTCATAAGTCAGTTTTTCAATGCCATTGTAACTTTGAACAGTCACTAAACAAATGGTTGTAAGTCTAGAACTACCTGTATTTCTAAAAACAAGGTTGCCCATTATGTGCAGAACAATTAAATGTGCTGTGTGAACAAAAGATCATTCTGATTTTGAAAATCCCATGTGTATGTTTGTACAAGCTTAAGAACTAGTCTGTTAACTCTGGGTGAGAGGAAATTGAGACTTTAAGGCTTTATCCTCCTTGCCCTGGTGCCTGCTAACCCTTTTGGTGCCATCAATCTGTCTGTCGAGGCTTAATTTAGAATTTGCAAGACAGATGTCAAAGAACAAGAAAGTAAGGGTGATGCCAGAGTGCCAATAGATCTTGAAAAGCTTTATTAAGAAATTGCTCCTTTGCATACAGCATCAGAAGAATTTGACCCCAAACAGCTGGATGAGCTCAAATGGCGGGGAAGGTTTCCAGTACAAGGAAACTGGGGGAAAGGGGTAATTCTTAGAACCCCTTTCTGCCAGTTCCCAACACTTTGGAATCATTATCTTTGTTCTGAGATGATTATCAAGGGAAAATTAATGTTTGTATTTATACCCAATCGAGAGGAAGAAATTACAAATGAATTAAGAAAGCACACAATGGGGAATAGACATTGAAAAGAATGGGTGTAGGTTGTTTGCTTAGGGTTGTTTGCTTAGGGTTTTCCCTGCACTTAGGAGGCAAAAGAAAGCCTTTAGGATGAAACAGGTCAAAGTCTTGCCAATTTCAAATAGGAAGCCTGCAGAGGATGCTAATGAAGGTCACAGAACTGAGTTTATTAATCTGTCAGGTTGGCACCTTTTAAGAAAGTGCTGAGCTGGGAAGAAAAGAGTTTTGGAAGAGATAGATAGAGATGTTTAAGCAATCTCTCCCCTCTGCAAGGGGGGAAATTCTAAAAGTTGGGAAGAAAAAAAAATACAAAAAAAAAAGGGTCAGGCAGTCAAGCACAGGACACTTTTGTGTGGGATATGCCTTCCCGGCAGAGACTCCATCTCTTGGCCAGCATGCTGCAGGGACAGGCTGAAGTTTGAAACTGGTCCAGCAAGAAAGTTCTTTTCTATTGGAAAATTCAATGCAATCTGCTGGAATTCAACGGTGTCAAACTTGCAGCATCACGTTGTCGTCACGTGACATATCATGACTTTCCCCCCCTTTGCTAAATGGGGGTGGGCGTGGCCAGCATGTGACCCATCCAGCCCACCAGCTGTGAGTTTCACACCCCTGAATTCTAGCAGCTAGATGGACCTTCTCATTTATTTGGGGGGGGGGGAGCGTGAGAGAGACCAGTGATCTGCCAGTGATCTGTCCCCGTACCCACACACACACACACAGCCAGTCGAGGGTTAAGGAAACACTTTGGAACGCACCCAGTTCTTATCTCCGACTTGGCAGCGATAGACACACCGTCTGCCAAGGGACTTTATTTGCACAAACAGACAGATAAAATACAAACGTTCAAGAAAGTCCAAACAGAAATAATATTCCTCCCAGCAGTTCCGGACGAGGCTTTAGTGACTCCAAGGTTTTGCTTTGTTCGTCACAAAAGATCCTTGACCACCACTCTCTATTATATAGTCTCTGGGGTGTGGTCTCTGGGGTGTGGTCCAGTGACTCAGTGCTAATCCCTAGCACGCCTCCTAAACTGCTGCAAACGTTTATCACGCCTTCGGAGGCGTGCGTCCAGGAATGATGTCTCATTATCACTTTGACTGGAATCAGCTGTCTCCTCTCCCTCGACCGGCACTTGAGACAATGCCAGAGGGGAGGGGCCTGGAGAGGGAGGCCTGGCTGACTCCTCTTCCTCATGCTCGGAGCTTTCTTCCTCCGATGGGACAGGCTCAGAGGGCGGGGCCACAACAGCCAGGCTCCAATTGGATCATTAGATGGCTGCCCTTCCCATCCATCCTCAGACTGTATTTTTCCGTGGCTCCTCTTCCTCCTCTCACATATGAACATCTTGTGTTCCTGCTCCTATTGGTAACCATTGCTGCCTGTACCAGTGGTGGGTTGCTCCCAGTTCGCACCGGTTCACAAGAACCGGTAGTAATTTTTTTTAGTAGTTCAGAGAACCAGTAATAACATTGGCTGGCCACGCCCCTGAACCGGTCCCCGGCTCGGTCGCCGCTCGCTTACCCCGGCCATCGCCTTTTTTTTTTTTTTACTTTGTAAAAGCATTTTTTCTACAACCTCTTCAGCTGAAAAAATGCTTTTAAAAGTAAAAAAAAAAAAGCCTCTGATGATCGTGCGGCTCAGCTGGGATCGTCAGAGGCTTTTAAAAGCATTTTTTCTACAACCTCTTCGGCCGAAGAGGTTGTAGGAAAAAAAATGCCTTTAAAAGCCTCTGGCGATCCCAGCTGAGTTGCCTGAGGATTTCAGAGGATTTTAAAAGCATTTTTTTCTGCAACCTCTTAAGGTTGTAGAAAAAATGCTTTTAAAAGTTAAAAAAAAAAGTTGGCCATGCCCACCCAGTCACATTACCTCCGCACCAAGCCATGCCCACAAAAGAAGCCACGCCCACAGAACTGGTAGTAAAAAATTTTAGAACCCATCCCTGGCCTGTACCTACTGAGTGATGTCTGCGTGCCTAAGTTTTTCTCTTCTCCAACAACCATGGATTTTTGCTGTAGAATATAAGAGGGAAGAACCCGTAACTTATATAAGAGAAAAGAACTATTTTTTTTCTCCATAGGAAATCTCCACGCATGCTGGAGAGGAGAAAAAGCAAAGCAGACAGGGATCTTTTCCCTTCTCTGCAGCTGATCCTATCTCCAGTTTTCCCCCATAGCAACATAGCAAAGTTTTCTGGCCTGTTGGTCAGGCTGGGAAGAAGAATAGTGGGGAGGGGGCTTTTTGAAGGAGTGTGTCTTCTCCCTTCTCGAGGAAGGCGAAGAAAACATGTCTGTGAGGTTGTGGGGAGAAAGCCCAAGCAAATGTAGATTGAAGACTGGAAGACAAACAGATTGGAAAAGCAGCAACTTGAGAAAAAGGTGCACATTAGAAAAACATGTCCCAGGATTCAAGAATCAAAGGAGTTGTATGTTATTGGCTACAGTAAACTTGAGAGCAGAGTATTTAAATCAAATTAGAATAGTAAAGTAGCTGTTTGAATTGATTTCTGGGTGAATTGTCAATACGGCCTCTTATGATTGAAAATAAGTTTATCAAGCCAACTCCTAGGAAATGATTTTAATAACTATGCTGTCTTTCACAGCATGCATTGTTCACATGGTTCACAGATGCAAAAAACATGTGTTTTCCTGGCTGACAGTTGCGTTACAACTTAACAAGTTGGCATTCATGTTTTAGCTATGCTTCACCATCTTTAAGCCAGGACAAACTATTGCTTGCATATTGTTTATATTAAAAACTGTATTTTCCTTCATTTCAGGGTGAGAAAAAAGATTGGGGAACCTGCAGACTATTTTCTGGACCGCTTTCCAGATTTAACCATTTATATCTATCAGCAATTGCATAACACGGACTACAGCAAACATTTTCCGAATGCAAATAATTCTTCATAATCATAACATGGGTCAACCACCACTGATTGTTTAATGACATAATTGAATGTGACCTACATATTTTCTAACTAAAACCAATCAATAGTTTTTATTAGCAGTTAATACTGTATGTGATCCTGGAAAATCTTCTTTAGACTGTCTTTTGCTCACGGACAATATACTCAAACTACAACTGCTAGTTAAGATACCCACAGAGAAACCAAATAATGCAGAATATACAGCTGTCAAATTTACAATCTAGTCTGACAACACTAAGTTCCCACAGCATTGGACAAAGCATGATGGAGTTGCATATTTGCTTCCTCTCCAACCTAATACGTTGTATTTGTTAATGGAACTGCAGATATAGGAGTTTATATCTCAAAGTCAGTTTCTGTCCAAAAGAAGCCCCTTACCCTTTTTAGTGAGTTGAGAATCTCTGCTTTCAAGCACGTTTATTATAACCCCACAAGGCAGAATACAAGGTTCTGCCCACTTGGCAAGGTTGAAGAAGCAACTTACATAATAATGCCAGACATTTGGTCAGTTAATGATATCCTAGAAATTTGAATTTCACCACTGGATGGAGGGCATGTGAAATGTTTCAGAAGGAACCCTCCCTAGTATTCTGGTGTGTACAAAGAAAGGAGGGAGAAATTGCAGAATAACTACTGTAACTATTGCAAAGTTAAGATAACTTTGCAATAAAGATAGAGCTAATACTCCTAGTTGTGCTCCTTGGCCAGACTACCATGAGCAACTAACTGTCTATGCAAGAAGGTCCATATTCAACACCTACAGCAGAGGTTCCCAAATGTTCTTGGTCTTCAATGCCTTCATCTCAATAATTTTTTCATAGTGATCCTAGGTTTGTAGTTTGTGTGGTGTCTGACAGTTCACTGGTATTGTGTGATGTTCCTGTGAGTTCATTGCAGCACCCTGCAATGGTTCTGCAAGTGCTGAGTTTGGGATGTGTGAAACTACATTATAAATGGCCACGTGGGCAATTATTACTCTCTGCACCTAGCACATTAAATTTCACTTTGATTGTATTGCTTTACATATAATGTCTACATCTCTATGGATATGCATTTATTCCTAATTGGTGATGTCATGCCATATAAGTGGTATGCTAAACTGAAATCCATGAAAGTCTATGCTGCAATAAACTTGTTGGTATGTAAAATGTCTCAAAACTATATTTTTGTTTCATCACTTACTTGAACAGTTGAAAACATCCATCCAATGTTTATCAAGAGAAATGATTGCATGTTGAAAAGAAGAAAATTCCTTTTAATATATTTCTGCAACTTATCCAAAATTGCTGTAAATATCATCTGCAGGAAGCGCTGCACTGCAGAAAGTCAACAGTCTAGGATGATTCTCTAAAGTTTTCTAATACAGCCTAAAAACTCAACAAAATCAAAATAGGGCAGCTTAACATCTTGTCTTTTTCACACAAATTGAAAGATTTACACCTCAATAACGTATAAGGTCAAAAACTGAAATGTGTGTGTGTATCTGAATTTTCTCCCTAGAAGATAATCTCATTGTTTTCTTGAAAGTTGATTTCCTCTTATGAATCCATTTTAAGTTACAAATCTCTCCACTGTATAATGTGAATTAATGACTTCGAACATTTTCATCACAGCTGGGACAGGGTTAGGCAAAACCCAAATAGCATTTGACCACTTTTAAGTCCTAGCAATAACATCCCCTTGCTGTTGATTCCAAGTTGCTGAAGCCATATTTAAAAAATATTTTAATATATTAAAATCTTAATTTGATCAATGCCATTAATTTTTCAAGAGTGGCAATAGAAGGAAAGAAGGACTACCAGTGCATAGTTTGCATTTAGCATTTCGGCTAGGATGTGTATAAAGAAAACGCCACATACACAAATGATGGTTTGAATCGTTTACTGGCACGAACTAACATCCATAACGCAATACAGGAAGATTTTGTTGGAGCTAATGCTTTGTGCTCCCCACCACCTTATAAAGCTTTATCACCCAGGTGGCCCTTAACCCGACTTCTCCTTACTCATTAATCATTGTTCCATTAGATACTGCAATTAGGCATTACTCCCACATGCTCCCAGCCCGCTGGCCACTCCTCCAGATTGGCCAGCATTCCAGCCATTTCCAAGCCTCTCCAGATTAGTCATCATTACAGCTGTTTCCAAACTTCTCCATAACTCTCAGCCTCTCAGCTGCCCTCAACAGCTGCTCAGTCAGCAGCTCCCAGCTGCACTAACTGCCAAGTCCATTCAGAAATGCTTGCTGCCAGTCCGAGTGCCTTAAACGTCTGGAGGAGGCTGCCATGGCAACAAACACATCATGTCGAGATCCCATCGACACTACAAGATTAGTGGCGACCATGGATCCTGACGTTCTATACGATGTGATACCTGAATCAGCAGCAAGGGGGGTGGTTTGGGAGATGGAATATGCTGTTCGCACTGGTGATGGGGGTGTTAGCATAAGGATAGGCGGACGGTCACGCCGCGGCCGCAGCCTTATGCCGCCCTTTCTTGGATGTTATTAATTAACTTTGGAAAGTTACTGAACATCCAACAAAGAGAGCTGGAAATGATGGCTGAGGTGGCCATTCCATTTACTTCCATACAATGTTTCCCTGAAAATAAGACCCTGTCTTATATTTTTTGAACCCTGAAATAAGTGCTTGCCCTTATTGCCATGTGCTCAAAAGCTCAAATGGGCTTATTATCAGGGGATGTCTTATTTTGGGGGAAACAGGGTAACATACCAGACTCTCAAGCCTTTTCCCTGGTCTTTAAGCTGATTAAGCTCATGTCAATCTTCCAAACTAATCTGATAGAGAAAAGTGATCTTTATCAGTGTGGTAGCAATGAAAAAGTGTTGTGCAGGAGACTAGGGCAAAATCTGTAGCAGTGGAGCCCCACACATTTCTGTACAAGTTCCTCTTTGTGATCCCCATTGATGAATCTGATTAGAATACACAGTTTAAATTTGTAAGTCATTTGTCAGATATAAAGAGCAGGGTGGGGGTGTCTTATGCACAATTTATCCACTATTATTATACACTTCTTTCTGGCATTGTCTCTTAAAGGTTGGGGTTGCTGTCATTAATAATAATAATATTTTATTGTCATTGTACGTGTATACACAGTATACCCATACAACGAAATTCACTTATCACCCAAAGACCAGGTCCAACACACATAACAATCCCCAAACACACTCCCACCCACCACAATTCTCCACCCCTAAACCACCCAAACATCCACACAACAGACCAAGTAATACTGTCCAACAGCTCACTGATGGTGGCCCTTTAGTTCATCGTTGAGTGCAATTATAGCTCTGGGACAAAAACTATTCAGAAAACGTGTGGTCTGAGTTTTGATTGTTCTGTATCTTCTGCCAGAAGGCAACAGTCCAAAAGATTATAAGCAGGATGGGAAGAATCTCTGAGAATGTTATGCAACTTTCTCAAACAGTGAGATTCGAAGATGTCGTCCAGGGCTGGTAGCTGGAGTCCGATGATATTCGGGGCAGTATTAATGATTCTCTGTAGAGCTTTTTTGTCCGCTACAGAGCTGCTCCCATACCATGCAAGAATGCCATATGTCAGGACACTCTCAATGGTGCTGCGATAGTAGGACAGAAGTAGATGCTGAGATAGATTTATCTTCCTGAGCTGTCATTTCATAGGAAACAAAACCATCAAGCTCTCTTGGAAGATGTCAAATTTCCAATTGGACAGGAGAGACCTTTCCCCCTTTTTTTTGATCACCATCTAGATATATTCCAGGAACTCAATGAAATATCCTGCTAATCTCACAGTACTCTATTAGTTAATGAAATTCTCTGCATTTCACTAATGAAGTAGGCTGGTGCAGAATTAGTAGAATCGGTTGTACCAGTGGTGGCTTGGTCAGTCTCGAACCACATTGTGGAGAGGTCTTTTCAGAACTGGACTGAAACATCAGAAAAGTCATCAGTAAAAATGCAGGGGTTTCAACACCACCATTTCAGATGTAGAGTTCAACTGCAAGTGGACAGTTTCAAGGTTTGAGTTCCTGCCTCTGTCACCTTGATGAATACTTTTATTTATTTTTATCTATATTTCATATTTCTTAACTGCCCTCTCCAGCTCTCCAGGGTTGTTTTGATACATTTCTTTATCTATTATTTAAATTATCTCAAAGTTGCTTTAATAAATAGAGTTTCCCCTCAGTTCTTTTATTCAGTTGGTTCAGGAAAGGTGAGGCTGAGGTGAATGTTATCTATATTAGGCAATTTTCTCTCAGTCAGATCATCAGGAGCTACAGGAGCCTTTGTAGATGAGAATTGGCTTTGTGATTAGGCCTCTATAGCCACAGCTTAAGAGCTGGAATGAACCTAGTTTTCTTTTTTTTTTCTTTTTTTTACAAGGCCAGAAATGAACGAACAGATAATAGATAATGTTTTAAGCTTTCAATCTTCTGCAAATTTCAATTTGCTCTTCATTTGGAAACAAATCAAATGAGCAGAAAGAATCCTTGCTTCTGATTGCTGTGGTTTAAAGTGAGCAAAAGCATTAAGAGAGCGACTTTAGCAATTTGAAAGTCATATTGTAGACACAAAGTTTGTAGAGTCATATGTTTTTCTATGTCATCTGCAATTTCAATTGTATCAGTGCTGAGTAATGTTCACATGTGACTAACAATGAAAAGATTTTTTTCTTCATTACAGTACACGGTGAAGGACATAATATGACCGCTTTCTGTCATGAAAGCTGCCCAACCCACCTCACAGGATTGTGGTTGTTGTTGTGGGGAAAATAGAAGTACGAAGGAGTATTATGTATATTTGCTGCCTTGAGTTACTTATAAAATAAGAAAGGTGCGATAAAGATCTAATAAATAAATCTCATGATATTTCCAAATTTAACAATTTATTGAAGTTTATATATCAACATGATCAACATTTTCATGTTCAGAATCCTTTTTAGTCAGTTCAATGAATATAAGTGACAGTCAATTCCTGCAGGTAAAACTTCTACTTTTGATTCATTGTAGCAATGTGCCAAAATGCTATTTGATTTTATTTAAATATAAAACACACCAGATGTAAAAGAGAAATACAAAAAAAGAATTGTTTAATATCTATGTTAAGAGAAAGTGTGGATTGCAAGCCCTCCTTGCTTGATGTGAAGATCTTTGACCTACGAATGGACGCCAAGCAATGTTTTGTAAATGCAGCTGCAGAAAAAGAAAACAAGCACATTTCATTATGCTCTGTAGTTGCTTCACATAAAATCCCTTCACAAATGAAAAATATTCCTTGCTGTTTCAAATTTCTTGATATAAATGTGTAACAATGCAATACATACCTCCAGGACATATATCCATGATATCAAAAGAAACATACAGTAGCTTCTTTCTAATATAGCTGAGTTCACTTTCCTTCTAGAATACAGAAAAACAGCCAGGTGGGGTTCCAGAGTTTGGGCTCAGGAAACGTGGAGAGATAGTGTTTTTCCATTTTGGTAACCTGAAGATGTGCAGATCAGTGGTGGGTTGCTCCCAGTTCACCCCGGTTCAGGCGAACTGGTAGTGGCGGCGGTGGGAGGCTCTGCCCACCCACCCAGACGTCATCAAAAATGCTCTGCGCATGCGCAGAGGCTTCTGTGCATGTGCAGAAGCGCTGTGCACTACCGATAGTGAACTGGTAGTGCCGGGATTTGAATCCCACTACTGGTGCAGATGCTGGCTGGGGAATTCTAGGAGTTGAAGTCCACATATTTTCAAGTTGCCAATGTTGAAAAATAGTGGATTACCAGCTACTGGAGGTATGGCTTGTGACACAGCATACAATTCAAAACAGTCCCAGGTTTTTAAGTCACTGTAAAAGCTCTTAAGGGTAAAGCTCTGCATTTTGGGGGGGGGGGTGGTAGAGGGTACTTGGGAGTAATGATTGCAAAAGAGAGTACCAATGACTTTGGGGTTTCCTGTGATCCTGTGTTGTAATTCTGCTTTTTAGTGGGTAGCTATAATAATATCATGAATGTATGCTGGCCCTCTTTTGGTATGCAAATGGTATGTATCTGTGGCTTTTCAAAATGATCCAATGGATTAATTCATCCAGAAATAGATATGTATCCAATTGTAGAAAATGTATGTTACTCAGGATTGAATGGTTGGGTTCTTGGTGTTCTCTGAGCTTGGTTGATTTCTTGCAGAGATTTCTTTACTAGGCGAACAAACATCATTGATGCATGGAAGAGTCTGCAGAAAAACACCAAGCTCAGATAGCACTAAGAACTCAATATTTATGCATATATTATTGTGTGAAGGAGATGCTCCATGGAAAGAAATCATGGAGTCCCATAATTCTGGGACAGAGGTAAAGGTGAGGTTTCTAAGTCTCTTATGATTTAGATGATTTTTTTCAATAAGACCAGGACATTATTCCTCCCTCCTTCCCCTTTCCTGGAGTCATGGGTTAATAAATCATCATCAACAAAACAAATGACAAAATGTGTATGGCTGCATCAACCTTGTGTGGGACTTGTGTGATTGAGACAGACATCAGGATGCAAACAGATAAGGGCAGCTTGCGTAATATAGCAGCAATACATGCATGCCATTATTTTGGTGTCACAGTGGTTTGCTGTGGATGCTGTGCCCTAATGTTCCCACCAATATCTGTTGACAGATGGAAATTTGGATTCTTTAAGGGAGTATTGTCCCACTGCTGAAGATGCTGCCAAATCTTTAGATTCAGAGTAGATTTTTTTTAATCTGGAAAAAACAGACTGATACAGTAGCTGTTGATTCTGTGACATCTGATGGGTTGATTGAAGAAAGAAAGACAGATTTGTGTATTAAGCTTCCTGATACAGAAAGATCTGACAGGGGAGGTTTAATAAGAGACCAGTATTTCATGATTAAGATAACTGCTTATTCCGGAAAGCTACCGGTATTACCTCTTACAAGTCCCTGTTTCATCTTCTGAACTGAAACTATGATTTTTTTCCAAATAAAACCTGAAATGATAACTTGTCATTATAATAAAATAGAAATCTGCCCACGCAATCTTAAAATATACCAAGGGGGTGGACAAACCTACTTTAATTATAAAGTGGCTCTCTAAATTTTGCAGTGATTCTTATCCCTGTATGCACACAAGACATATCCTCAATTCTTTCTTTTCCTTTTATCCTTTTTTTGCCCTTCGTTGCTTCTGCGTTCTGAGAATTAATAGAAAAAAATACATCCCAGGAGGGAAAATATACTTTTATCACTTAGCTCCCAAAGATCTTTTCAGGCTTGTCAAAGCACTGTTACTTGCTGTGGTGATAGACAAGGACCTCAGTTTCCCCATGTTGCAGCAGAAATTTATCCCCCATTGAGAAAATGGTGACATCCTGCCTCCAGAAGGGGAGGTATTAAGCTGTTAAAAGACTTTTTTTCCATCTTCAAAAATTGATATCCTGTGTCAGAATGCAAGCAAAAACAAATTTAAAAATTTAAAGCTGAGATACGTAATGCTATGAGAATGCACAACCTAATTAGGAATTAGTTGATCTTTCGGCATTATTAGGCTGTGTGGCTTCTGTGCGACAAACATGTCCAACCATACAGGCAGTCCTTATGACCACATTTGGGACCAGAATTTCTGTGGTTCATGATCATTTTTTGCCAAGGTTGTTAAGTGAATCATTGCAGTTGCAATAATGCAGTTGTTAGGAGAATCTGGCCCCCGCTATTCATTATCTTTGGTGGATGTTGGCTGAGATGGTGCTCATATGCCAAACTCTTTCCTTGACCTTCCATTGGCCACTCTGTTCCACCTCTTTAGGAAAAGAATAATTGCATACAGAATGGTGGCTGAGAAGACTGACCTTAAATCAATTGTCTTAAACACCCAAGAGCTTCTTTCTCATCAGAGTCAATACTTGTCACTGAACTCTACCACCTATTTATTTTACATAACTTTAGGCTGCCATTGGATCACATTAGAATATGGAGGAAAAGACTACTCGAAGTCAGTACTGGAATATCTAGTGAAAACTTATCACCATTCCATTCATAGACTTAAGAAAAGATAAGGGCAATTCAGGGACAGGGCAAAGTGTGGGGGGAGTAGCTGACAACCACAATTATGCCTTGATATGCCAAAATCTCACAGAATTCAGATTTTTTTCCCTCTGTGAAATATCTGAGAATGGCTTTGTCTTATGCTTTCTCTCTACCCCTGGCTGCTTTGCAGAACTTCCTCTGAATAGTCAGCACTTGTGCGTGTTTCTACAGGCACATAAGTGGCAGCCATAGCACTGTCACCCTCTGCATGGAGGCAGGGTACAAAATGTTGGCCAAATTGTAAGCATGGCTGCTTCTACCGCTGGTTGCAGAAGTGAAACACGTGAACGTACACATTCCATAGGAAACCCATATAATACCTTACCTGTTTATTGGGGAGTTTCTGCCCTATAAACTGGTGGAGAATTTTCACTTAAAAAGTCAATAAGCGTCTTTGCCTAATTTATCGGCCTATAAATTTGGTGGAGAATTTCAGGAGGATGCTTTTATACAATTCTACATTTTCCCAAAACCTTTAAGTCTCAAGTCTCAAGGAGAGGCAACATATTTCAAAGACATTTTACCTTTTCTGCATAGAGGCACCAGATGACGATTTCACATGGGTTTCACTTCCTGTTGATGCTGCCAAGGAAAAAGAATTAAGTTAGATTTGAAGCCTTCAACCTATCTGGGAAAACAAAGTAATTTAAAACTATCTCCCCCCCCCCAATCCACAACTAAGTTCTAAGTTCTGGACAATTGCCAATTTCTTTAGGGTTAGATTGTTCCTACTTCAATCTTTGGTTCAGCCATTACATTGACTGATAATAAGGAAAGGATGAGAGTGCAGGAAATACAAAAGAAAATTATGATCACCTAGGTAAGAATTTAATTTGTTGTTTGGCTTTTGCTGGCTTTCTTTGCTTGTTACCAGTTTATGACCAGCCGGTGTTTGATCAGCAGCTGAGAATTTAGCAAATTCTCCTCCCCTGCAGAGGCCAATGGCCATCCCACCCACACCCACTCCCGATCTCTGGGCTGCAGGTCTTCTGCTGCATCTGTAAAAGCACCTTGGAGTTGAGCCAAAGTTCAATCAATGGATGTTCCTTGCCTGTCATATTCATGGTCCCCCTGCAGCCCCTCACTCCATTCAACCTTGCATGGGCCTCCTGGCTTCTGCCCCAATGAAGCAAACTCCATGCTCAGAGGAAAACTTCCCTTTCTCCACACACCCCAAAACATCTCTAAGTTGTATCAAATGCACAATAACTTTGGGATGCTGAGGAGGTCACTATGGTGGTCTTTGATGCAGGTGATTATTGACATAAAGATTATTGACATAAACCTTTAATTTAACCTCTAATTAAGGAACAAATTGTTCACCATCCAGAGAAGTTGGATTTTCCACTAGAATCACTATGTTTGTTTAACCTTGTAGTTAGAAGATAGAATAACAGAGTTGGAAGGAACCTTGAAGGTCTTCTAATCCAATCCCCTGCTTAGGCAGAAAACCCTATACCGTTTCAGACAAATGGTTGTCCAATCTCTTTTTAAAGACTTCCAGGGTTGGGGCATTCACAACTTCTTGGAGGCAAGTGGTTCCACTGATTAATTGTTCTAACTGTCAGGAAATTTCTCCTTAGTTCTAGGTTGCTTGTCTTCTTGATTAGTTTCCACCCATTGCTTCTTGTTCTGCCTTCAGGTGCTTGGAGAATAGCTTGATTTCCTCTAGTGACCAAGACTGGAAGTCACTTCTTTAGATAGTAGTCCTCAACTTACAACAGTTCATTTAGCGACCTTTCAAAGTTACGACATTGAAAAATGTGACTCATGGCCATTTTTCAAATTTATGACCTTTGCAGCATCCCCATGGTCATGTGATCAAAATTTAAATGTTTGGTAACTGGGTCATACTTATGACAGTTGCTGTGTCACAAGGTCATGTGATCACCTTATGCAACCTTTTGACAAGCAAAATCAATGGGAAAGCCAGATTCACCTAACAAACCGTGTTACTAACTTATCAACTGCAGTGATGCACTTACTGCTAAGAAAAGTCGTAAAATGGGGCAAAATTTTTCACTTAAGAACAGAAATTTTGGGCTCAGTTGTGATCATAAGTTGAAGACTACCTGTATATTTCTATTCCCTTTCTTTATATTTCTATTTCTTTTTTTCCCCTATTTCCTTGCACTTTTTCATCTTCCTTTCTCTTTTCCCTTTCTTTAAATTTAGTTTGTGTTAGATATTACTATTATAATTATAATTCTTAATAAAATTATATAAAAAGACTTACATTTTTCTCCTGGTAATTCGTCTGTTGCCTCCCTTGGTTGAGGCAGCAGTAGCTGTATTCCCTTGAGCAAAGTAAACCTGATGATTGGATGATCTTCTATATAAATGCATTAAAAAGTGAAGGCAAATTATAACTCAGGCATTATCTCCTGATCCCCTATCACTGATCGCTGAGAAAAGTTGTTTTAATATGCATACTGTAAGAATGGTGTAATTAAAGATACTGAGATTGAAAAACACTGGTTTAACACTCTATAGATGGTCAAGAGTGATAGACAGTTCCGACATGCTAATCAAATGCATATACAAAATAAATCATGGAAGCTACATATTCTGCTTACCTCCACTGAAACCACTGGACCTCCTAGGTGTCTTTGTAGGTGAGAATGGTAGAACAAAAGGAGACTCATCTGTTTTTTCTCCTTTACGTTTTCTGAAATATTTCATCACTTTCCAATAACAATATCTGCCAGGAAAAATGTTGATACTCCTGGCAGCTTTTATTGACATAATGCACATTTGGCAAAGCAAAGAGTTGCTCGCTAAGAAAGGTACAAAAAAACAAAGCAGACAAACAAACTTAGAGGCTTCCTGAGCCCCCCGGATAGCCTGTCATACATAGATAACAGACTGTATTTGGCTGGGAGGGTTATAATTTGTGTAGGTCAGGTCTAGAGTGAAAGAATTCAAAAAACAGTAGGCAAGTAGACAGAGTGACAATTTAGGGACATGCCGTTCTTCTTTGAGTTGAACCTTTCTTTTTGTACTACTAAAGCATCCAAAATCAAATTATCACATAAAAGCAGCACAAGCAGTAAGGATACACCATGTAGGCTCCCACCTTCATTTGATTTTGATATATGTATTGCTTAGATTTCAAAATGAACTTTGGGACCATCTTAATAATCCTGTTGTAACCTTTATTCTCTGATTTTGTCCACAAAAATAGGTATTTCCCAGATCAAAAATATGCCCAGTGACTTTTTTATTCTGTCATGTCGTTGTTACATTATCTTCCACTCATCCTCAGTCTACATATGAGGTAGCTTAAAATTATTCTTGGTTTATTCTGATCTGAAGATAGCATTTTTCTCCTTAGTCATTCAATGAGCCCAGGTATTTTTATTGTGGGGGCAAACTGATACTGTATATTCAACCCACCAATGTTGCAATCAAATGACCTTTAGTGGTTGGGATCAGCCTGGCATCTATTAGCCACTTTGGCTGTTGAATTTATGTCCCCTCCCATCAATCCTCAGACACGGCCCTCTAGGCCCTTATTTTCATAGAATCATGAGCTGAAAGGAAGTCTCCTAGTCCAATCCCCAGCCCAAGCCAGGAGTCCTTATACCATCCAGATAAGTGGTTGAAAGCTGCTTTTATTGAAAGCCTCTAGCAATGGAGCACCCACAACTCTGGGAAGCAAAAGCTGATCCATTGCTCTCACTGTCAGGAAAGTCTTCCCCATTCCAGGTTGGCTCTTCCTCTGATGGACTTCCACCCATTGCTTCTTGTCCAGCCCTCAGGTGCTTAGAGAATAAATTGACAACTTCTTCCCTGCGACAGTCCTAACTTGGGAACAATGAGAGCAGCAGAGAGATTCTTTCTCATATTTACCAGATATCTGATTTGATCTCTAGCTTGGAGACCTTTTTCAGCCCAAACAGCACTACCACTGGTGGTGATGAAAGTTGTAAGGTGAAGCAGGTGAGAGCAAGCCATCTGTGTCACTTACCGCTCCTGGTGTGCCTGTCAGCTGTTGTTTGAGCTGCTTTTGAGCATAGGTTTACTGTTCTTTTAGAAGTGTATGTTTCACAAAAGTCTGGAAAAAAAGCTGTCAGTACTGGGGAGAGAGGGAAGGTGTGGCAAAGTGGGATTCTTTTACTTCATTTTGCAATCCTCAAAGCTATTTGAGGGACTTGTTGACTCTAACTGATGAATAAAGTGTCAGTTCTTCCACCATCCCGTCCTGCACTGGTAACCTGGGCTTCAGCTGCCAAAATAGGGAGAAGTGGCAGGAGAAATGGGATACCAGATGAAACAAGGCCACCTCTGTTGGTAGACTTGAGTCTATGGATCAGTTGCAGTTCAGTGCCGAGTCTGCTGGTTGTGTGAGGATTGTTCAAAGCAGAAAAGCATCTTCTGCTTTACTGGTCAGACTCTACCAATGCCACAGGTCAAGGGTCATAGAGGGCAGAGGGAATGACCTTGATGGACAGAAGGATGCGCTACTACCAAGACAATAGTCAGATGCAAAGGTCTTGAGAGAACATCTCAGACAAACCTTTCCTTAGTTCACATAAAGGAAAGTGTGTGTATGTGGGTGCGGGGAGGCACATTTAGCCTCCCCGCTGTTACTATACCTGCTGCAATAAAAGTGGTCCTGACCTTTAGGGCATTGATTTTTTTAGTCTGGTCTAGCTGGCTGGGCTGACACTTGATAGCAGATCTTGACAGATGATGGGGTCTACACTGTACAGCTGTACAATTAGTGGAGAGTTTCTACTTACTAGTGAGACTAGAAAAGAGAGGACAATGACACCAGGGAGTTTAACCTTACTTACTAAAGCTTTAATAACATGCCCAGATATTGTTATCCGGTGACAAACCAGAACACAGGTTTTAGATGCAGGATAGGGATTGATAGTTTAGTTTAGTTGGTTGATTAGTCAAGCAGTCACATCAAATCATAATGGCAACAGGCTAGAAAGCAGGAGATGGTAAATTTAAGTCCCGCCTTAGTTATGAAAGCCAGCTGGATGACTTTGGGTCAGTCACTCTTTCTCAGCCCAATTCACCTCACACGGTTGTTGATGAGGGAGAAATAGGAAGAGGAAGGTGTGCTCGATATGTTTGCTGCTTTGAATTTTTTGTAAAAAATAATAAAGGCAGAATACAAATCAAAAAATAACATTGCCAACATGAATTAGTAATAAGTTTAGCAAATGCTAATCCTGTATAGATTTCTGATGAGTGGAGAACACCTCAGTTCTGCATTTGGAAAAGGCTCTATAAGAGTGTCTTAACATACATCTGAAACATATATATACAGCAAATCTATTCCAAGTGATAAAAATACTTACTTCTTCCAGAAGTATAATAAATGTGGGAAGATGGCTATTATAGCACCATGATAAAGAGTCCTGTTCATCACACCTTCAGAAATTAAAGTCCGAATTTGAATACACTGTGCATCTGTGAGATTGACCTGATCATGGAAGATATCATAACTAAGTAAATAAAATCTATTTTCAAATAAAATGTCATAAAGATGGATAATTATGTTAGCCCATCATCAAAACAGAAATAGGAAAAGTGATGTGGCTGTCCCCAATATCTGAGATAATGCCTTCAAGCCAAATATTGGAAGGCAAAGCTAACTTTGGAGAAGTTGCACTTTGCTTGCACTTGGTATTTTGCCTAGACTATGAACCTTCTTCACAAAATACCTTACAGGTGTGCATGAATATCACCTTTTAAGCACATTCTTGCCCTACGAATGTTTAACTACTCTTTACTAAGTCCAGTGTAGCATTCAGTGGGACCTAATTCTAAAAGGCTAATTTCCCAGGAAAAATATCTAGATCAAAGACTAGATTCAACCAATCATGTTCATCATTTGTACATAATCATTTTCAAATTGTTCTATACCTGGTAAAGTTCTGTCCGTATTGACCCTCACCCTTAATTGTACATATACAAACCGTGAAAAGTAAATCCTTCTGTAGTCAGTTCTCTTGATTTCATTTTTACTTTTCCATTTTCTTGAATTAGGTAATGGGAAAGTTTCCCCTGTCCAGTTGTGTCCAATTGTAGGGAGTGGTGCTCATCTCCGTTTCTTAACTGAGGGAGGCATCACTGCCCAAAGACATTTCCATGGTCATGTGGCCAACATGACTATATGCTGATGCACACAAAATGCTGTTACCTTCCCACCGAAGTGGTACCTATTTATTCTACTTGAATTTGCCTGCTTTGCATTTGCACTGCTGGGTGGGCAGGAGCTGGGGAAAATAACAGGAACTCAGCCTGTCATGTGGCACTTGAGTCGCAAGCCCTATTTTTCTGTACTAGCAAGCCTTTATTTGTTAAACATTGCTGTTTGCTATATAAACCATTGTTTCTTTTCTATAAAATGCTTCTTGTGTGGAAGTCCACAGAAGTATTTATGGGCATAGCCTGGGTCTACATCTTAGTAATTTGTTCAGATTTGCCATTTGTAATATGGCAATTGTGATGCAATTTTTTTTTAAAAAAATTACAGTTTCACTTTACCATACCATAAAAAGCCATGCCATCTAAACCTCAGACTATGACTTTCTCATTCTAAGAGTTTCTTATTTCTTAGCAGCATCTATTCCTTCGTCAACCAAACTACAGACAGCAAAATACAATTTAAAATCAGGTAATATGCCTCTTTCCTTTGCATCTGGGAGAAACTTATATTTATCCTTGATTTCTCATATGAATCTGGCTGTATCTTTTTGCTACTGTTCGAAGGGTATGCCTCAAAATGGGTATTGTCTGGAATAAAAACATTACTTCCCCATTTTTTATGAGGGTCATAGTACCCATTCAGTCCCTTGTCATGAACTCCTCTCCCTTTTCAATGCTGCAAAAAGGTTCCTGGGATTTAATGTCTCTTCCATACTTAGGTAAATAACTTTTGCTTTCCAGCTTTGTGATGAATTGAAAACTTCTATGGTTGGAGGTTTAAATGCCATCTGGTAATCCTAGGATTACTGCCCTTCATTTTTAAAATGTATTTATGCAAGTAGTTGATGAACGGGCACGATGGCCTTAGCAGTTAAGATGCTGGTCTTGTCAGCCAAAAGATTAGCAGTTTGCCACATAAGTACTGCATGAGGGGTGAGCTCCTGTTTTGCCCAGCTCCTGCCAACCGAGCAGTTTGAAAACATGCAAATGCAAGTAGATAAATAGATACCACCTAGTTGGGAAGGTAACAGCATTCCCTGTGCCTTTTGGCATATATAGCCATGCCCCTCACGTGACCACAGAAGCCCCTTCAGACAATGCTGGCATCCTGGGCTGGGAAATGGAGATGAGCACCACCCCCTAAAGTTGGACATGACTGGACCTTTTTAAGAAGTTGATGATCAGTAATTACCTTGAATTCTTACCCCAGAAATAAACTTTAAGTCAGGAGTGTCCAACCTTGGCAATTTTAAGACTTGTGGACTTTAACTCCCAGGATTCCCTAGCCAGCCATACATTAAAGTCCTAGGGGTGAAAACAAAGGGAAGGAACAGCTCATGTTGGCCACTACAAGGCTTTCCTTCCTCTCTCTGAAATTACATCCCTAAAATCGTTCAGGGACAGGTCTCATGTTATCAGACCTGAACATACAAACCAATCATTATCAGACCTGAACTTGCAGACCAATCATTATCAGACCTGAACTTGCAGACCAATCATTATCAGACCTGAACTTGCAGACCAATCATTATCAGACCTGAACATACAGACCAATCATTATCGGACTTGAACATACAGACCAATCATTATCAGATCTGAACATACAGACCAATCAAAAGAGCTGTGTAAGATTTATAGGGGAGAAGGGGCAGCACAAAGAATGAAAGAATTGGCAATGTTTACAATATTAAAAAATGAATAGCAAAAAAGAATTAATTTACTGATTTTTTTTAAAAAAATGCTTATTTTGTTGATTTATTTATTAAATTTATGTCATCAATCTCAGTATCCAAAGCAACTCTCTCTCTATGTATGTAGGAAGGTTATCACCACAGACCAAAGTAGAAACTTCCTTTCTGAGCAAGGGAGTGGAACAGCTCCTTTAAAACATAGGTCCTTAAAGATACAAATTTTGTGTTAGTGTGGGATGCAACACAACTGTGTTCTGGCTTTTACAAAACATGCCACTATTATCATAATAATAAGTTGAGCTTTATAATGAAATCTCTAAATCTTATCTGTCCGTTTGCTCACTTCAGTGTCTATTCTCTGCCATTAAGTTGAAAACACAGCAAATGTTCTTTATGTTCCTCAATCACAACTAATTCCATTACCTTGGAAAAGTTGTTTTCAGATCTCTTACCCTAAGTTTAGGTGGGATATCTGAGTTCAGAAATAGTTTGGAGATCGTGGTCACTTTGCTCTTTAAGAAGGCAATATCCCTCTCTGTATAGAACCCAAGAGAAGCCAGCATGACCACAGTGTCAGATAGATGAAGAAACCTGTGGTAGTAATAAATAGAAAAAAGGAGAGACAGGTGAGATGGGAAGTACAAAAGCCCTCCCTTGATGTAACAGAAATTGGAGGCAAGACCACATCACAGTTGATATCATCTGCACCTGGATTGGCAATGCAGCAAATAATAGGATATATTTGGGGTCAAGTGGATATTTCTTCCTGTGTCCCATTCCCATGCTAAAAGCCGTCGTCTACGTTAATTCAGCATCAGCCTGATAAAAATCTCTGTGTGTCACAGGTTGCTATGGTGAACTAAGAAGATGATGCCTCCCATGTTGGAGAATTTATTGGCCAATTATCAATCCAAACATGATACTGCATATCAGATATTTATATAAGGCAGGGGTGTCAAACTTGATTTCATTGACGGCCGCATCAGGGCTGGGATGGGCTGGGGTGGGAGTAGCTCGTCCCACATATTGGGGGCACTGTGATGACCCAAGCATTCTGCGAGTAACCACAGGCTCCCGAGCTCCTGAGCTCCGTTTTTGGCTGTGATGGCTTCCTGCAATCCTCTGCCAGTAAAACAGTAAAACAGAGCTCAGGAGGGCAGGCCGCAGCCCTCGCATGCTCTGTTTTTGGCTGTGACGGCCTCCTGTAACCCTCTGTCACCAAAAATGTAGTTCAGGAGGGCCTCCTGCAGCCCTCCGAAGCTGGCAGAGGCACTGCGGGCTGGTCCTTCACTGTTTCCAGGGCAGCCCCACAGGTCAGATCTAAGCATCCCATGGGCCAGATTCGGCCTCCAGGCCTTGAGTTTGACACCCCTGATATAAGGCCTTACAACATGATGCTTGATGAGTGTGACTGAAGAATTGCACCAGACACAATGAATGGGGGTAATTATTATTGATCTGAGACTATAAGAAGCATGAATGATATGGCAAATGATATAGCATGGGGTGACTTACCTCTCCATTTCTAGATAAAAATAGAGATCATTCACCAAGAAGTTGACTGAGATGATGCGGCCACCAGGTAGCCTGCGCTTCACCTGTTGCAATTCAGGTTCTTCTGATGGTCCAGAACTTGGGCCAGAACGCCCACTAAATCCACTCTGAATTGCAGGCTTTGTTTGAGTTGGACTCTGTATATCTGGAGAGAAAGAGAGGGAGCATCTTCCACAAAAATCCATAAACGATAGAGGTATAAAAATAATTCAGTTCAATAATCTTCAATATTGGCTTCACTATGGCTTTGCTCTTACTATTAGAATGTTTTTCCTAGCTTCCAGTTGAAGTTGGTCTCCCTGTAAGGGACAGACTCAACCAAAGTGTCCCTTGAGTGGAACCATTCCACACTACGTGGCTGAAGAGGTTTAGGTTAGAGGAATGAAGAAGCAAGGAAATAAGGATATGTGTGTTAAAAAAAAATCCTTAAAACTCTCAAACTTAATTTAATTCCCAGTAAACCAAGTTAGTTTTGGATGCTGAATTCCTTTCAATCAGAACCAACTGATACCTTTTCTCCATTTCCTGGTTTTAAAATAAACCATAGCATAAAAGACTCCTCCTCCTGAAAAAAAATCCACCAATGTGTGGAAACAGAGAGATTTAGGACTCACTTTCCTTGTCGTTCTTCACCTCCTTGAGGAGAAAGTTCTCAAAGCGTTTGCGCTGTCCCACATAACTCATTGCCTTTCGGAACTTACAGACCCTCCTGATGAAGGCAGTAAGAATACACCAGCATCTTTTCTGGAAAAGAAACCATGGTTTGCATGCTTAGCACAGGGCAGCCTGATTGCTGACCTTGTCAATTCTCACATGTGAAATGTGAAAAACTAGAGTAGAAGACAAAGAATTGGAGAAGATCACAAAGTATCAAGATCTGAAAATAGAAATTGAAAGATTATGGCATAAACTGGCCATGGTGTTCCCTGTGGCTATCAGAACACAGGTTACCATACCAAAACATCTTGGACAGCTCTTAGAAAATCTGCCCATTGACAAAATTTCCATCTGCAAAGGACCCCACTATTTGGATCTACACATATTAATTACAACTTCCTAGGTTCTTGGGAAGAACTTGATATATATGAAGGTCAATATCAGTTAAAGAACTAGCAACTGTGTTGACTAAATAATAATAATAATAATAATAATAATAATAATAATAATAATAATAAATACCAACCACCAAATCAAAATAAAACAAAACAGGGGGCTCCACAGTCACTGTGATCTTAGGATCTGGGAAAACCACCTGATCTTCAGTAAATTTTTGAATGACCTAAAGATGGGAGCCACACAAATCTCTGGAGGAAGATTATTCCAGAGGATTTTTTTCTCTTATTGTTTGCTTTATGGTTATTGTTTATGGAGTGTAAGTTTTGAGTATTGACACTTCCAGCAGATAAAGACTGAGGAAAAAAATAGCTAGTTATTTAAAGCCCCCATATTATTTCAGACTTGGGACACAGCATCTCAATTGATTAGGAGAATGTCAGGTCAGAATAAGGTCATCTCTTTTATTCAACTGATTCTCCAAGACAAGCCAGAAGTTCATTATTGCAGACAAGCTTTGTTTATTGAATGCAATGTCCTGCATCCTGGCTTCCTCTGAACCTTCAAAGCTTAGAATAACTTTTAAAATCAGAATCAAGGCAACTGAGTTAGCTGTTTATGAGTTCATAAATTCAGATTGGGTCTGAATATATGGCAGAAGGATGTAAACACAAATCCCGCCTCTTCAACCATCAATCCCTATGGAAGGTATGAATCTAATCCCTCCCCATCACTACTCCTTCAACCATCAGTCACCTGCTTGCTTGTGAATGGAGAATCCTTCTTTGACTTCCAACCAGTTGGAACAATGGCAATATCACTATCAGGATATAGGCCTTGGTACATATTAAACCTGCCAGTAAAAAAGGAAAATCATTTTGGTAAATTATTACTCCTTGTTATCTACTGTAATTCATTTCACTTGAAGATGTTTATAGGAGAAACTTGAGTGTAACAGGCAAAGGATTCCTAAATTGTCATACATTCTCCCCCATTTTTGGGCCTCCAAAATAATTTATATTCCTGATATAAATTTGTCATATGATAAGTCACATATGGGCAGTGTATGGACACAAGGCAGATCTTGCACAAAGGAGACTAAACTCCAACTTTACATCACCCCAGAACAAAAATACAACAGGTTTCCTTTGAGGAATACTATTTCCTTGTTACTTGCACTATTATGCCAATGCCTTTGTGGCTTTCCATATCACCACATACAGTCTTCTGATTATGGAATGGCCCAGTTGTTGTGGAAGAAGGAATTCAGAACCATCTCTTCAGGGCAGACAGAATCAGTTTATTTATTTATTGCAATAAAGGATCAAACCTTGGTATCGCTACCATAAAAATGGAGGTCTGACCGAAGTATGATTTTCCGCTCAAAGCATTTATACAGTTTCAAACAAAGGATTCTGTGAAGTCAGCAATTCATATGGTCATATACATTTGTCATTTTTAATTGACATTTCCTAATTACTGAGTTTGTTACTATCTTTGCAAACCAGTTATAATTCTTCTAAGAAGTTACTGAAGCATAATCTGGTCATCTCCTCTCTCCGACTTTAAAATGTAAATCACCTAGACTGTCCTTATCTGTGACAACTGAGAGGCCTTGAAGTAGAAATCCTACTTGAAAGGAATGTGCCTACTTACGTGCTGGATACAATTACAAGCATTTTCTCTTTTACAATATTAAGAACAAAGAGGACCCTTCAGTGATCATCTAGTTGGATCCGCTTTTACTTTATTTATTACTTTATTTGTCACTTTCCACATTACAGTGGTGGGATTCAAATAATTTAACGACTGGTTCTCTGCCCTAATGATTTCTTCCAACAACCAGTTTGCCAAACTACTCAGAAAGTTAACAACCGGTTCTCCCGAAGTGGTGTGAACTGGCTGAATCCCACCACTGGAATGGCCCAAAACGAACAATCCCCATGGCACTGTTTGGTCGTTGCTCTTTACTCACCACTTCTCTTCCAAGATCCTCAGGACTAACATTTGAGCAGTGACCAATATGGGAAGATGAACTGATGGTAACTTTGGAATCTCACGGATGACATATTCATCGCAATGCAGCAGTTTTTCTGGATAAGACAAAGTACATACCAGACATCTGGGTGATTGTTTTGTCCCTGAGTGACTCTGGGCCACACTTAGTGGTCATATCATTATAGCATTGTATCTTTCATGCAACTCTGAAAGAGCCACACTATTTATTTATTTTTTAGTCTTCTAAAGAAGATTTTTTTTAGTCTGAAGAAGAGTTTGAAAGAACAGCAAAGAGGTGCTCTTATGTAAAATCCAAAGCACTTCTTCCCCATACTTTTTTGAAGATTCAAAGCTCTCAGGTTGAGTTCTTCTCAAATTGGCTTGAACAAACCAGACTTGGAAGCATTTACAAGCAGCCAAGATCAGGAGGAGACCAGGAGCTTTCTGCTGAGACTTTTAAAGGCAATGCTGCCCTTTCTCCCCTTTGTGTCATAGGGCACCAAACAGAAGGCCCATCCAGACTAGTAAGGCAGGAGCACAGACTAGTAAGGCAGGTCGCAGAAGGTCTTGTGGCTGGCAGCAAGGAGGTAAACTTCAATAGTGAATCATCCCTGAACCTATCTCTAGCCTTCTGAGGTAGAATGAGAGACTTGCTTGCGGCATACCAGGTGGAATAGGGCTGAAGAAGTAAGTCCGGACACACTCGTTGATCTGCATTTGCTGAATCCTTGGATCTAGCTCTTTTTTTATATCTTCTACAGTCAGGCAGAAAAGGAGTGGGGCTTCTGCATTGTGTAGCCTGAGGAAGTTCCTGAAGTACTCAAAATGGAGCGAGTTCTGCATCACTTCAGAGAGAGTTCTAGGAAGGAAAGAGAGATGAGGAAGCTCAAGAGGCTGCTTTTCCATAAAGCTACAATCTCAGAGATGGCGATGGAGTCCATTTAAAAACCACTTAAAAATGCATAACAGTAATATCAATAAAAGATCCATGGTACAGAAGCATATTACATGAGGCCTAGAAATTTAATTTTAAACAAAAGAGGATATTTCTAAACAAAAGATATGATTTGTCAATAATTATACAATTATTGAGACTTCCGGTTTGCTTGCCTCCGGTGAAAGACGGTCCCTCTTTAAGGACCGCCAGCCCCGCCGTCTGTAGAGCCGCTTCGACTTCGAGAAGCGGCTTGAAAACTCCAGAATCTGAAGGATTTGAAGGAGAAGAGTAAGCAAGGCGCAGGTCGAGCCCCTGTGAGCCCCCAGAAGTTTGCTACTGGGGAGGAAACAGGCGTGGCTCCCTTTCAACTTGCTGAGACTCCGGACGGCGTGGGACGACTCTGCTCGCTGCAGAGCAAGCCGGCTGCAGCAAACATCCAAATTGATCGAAATTAACTTCACTAATCAGCGGAAAAAACAACCTGAACCTTTAAACCAAGAAACTGCAAGTATTATTTTTTTTCTGTGACTTTTTGAGCTAAGCAAAAATCAGAGCGAGTGAAAGCTGCTTCAAAAATGGTGCCCGGCTCCAGCGTTAACAAGCTGAGAGTGAGAGTGGTCTTGTAAAGCTATTCTAACAAGTTACAAAGTTGCGCTGCTTGTAACAAGCAAACAGGAGAAGAGGGAAAAAAATCCTTTTTAAATAAGCCTGAGCTCACTTCAGTTTAATTCTATTTTCAATTTGACTAAACCTGGGGGACTTTTTCAGAGGACTTTGTGGTGCTGGAAAAGGAAAGAGGATCTCCTTTTTCAGAAAATCTAATCTATGTGGCAGAATGGCTTCTAAAAAACAGGAAGGCAAGGCAGCAGGGGGGGAATCCCCCCCCACAAGTCTGAACAGCAGTTTCCTTCAGTTCAGCAGAGTCAGAAAAAAGATTTTGATTTTGAAAGTTTAAAAGAATTTATTACTCAGGCTCTGGATGATAATTTTCAAAAATCTCAACAGGAAATGGATGATAAATTCCAAAAATCTCAACAGGAAATAAAGCAGGAAATTATTGAAGTGAAAAAGTTGGTGAAAGAGAATTATGGCAAGGTGACTGATAAATTATCAAATGTGGTGTCTGGCTTGTCAGAAATTATTATTAAAGTGGACTCTAAATTGGAAGAATTTAAATCAGAAGTGAATGTCAAAATAAAGGATACTGATTTTAAAATTTCTGATGTGGATAATAAAATGCAGAGAGTTGAAAACGAAATTACAATGATGCAATTCCGGTCTATGGAATTCGCTATAAGAATTAGAGGTATTAAGGAGAATGACCAACAAAACCTGAGACAGGTTTGTGCTGATGCTTTGGCTGTGTTGTTAAAAATTAATCCTGAAGAGATTTTTTACAAAATAGATAAAATTTACAGAGTGAACTCGTGGGTGGCCAGACAAAGACAACTGCCTAGAGATGTGGTGATATATTTTACAGATAGAAGAATGAGAAATGATATCTTGCAAAAATCTTTTCTTTCTTCTGTGCAAGTGGAGGGAACTCAAACTGGAATTTATAAAGAACTACCGCCAAAGATGTTGAAAGATAGAAAAGATTTTGGTTTTTTAGTAAATGAATTAAAAAAATTACAGATTCCATTTCGGTGGGATGCTCCAACTGGTATAATTTTGAAGTACAATGGAGAAAGACATCGATTGAATACTGTTGAAAAGGCGGAACATTTTTATTATACTGTTTTTGAGAGATCACCATCCCCACGTACATCTACAGTGTTGGAGGTAAAGGAGAGTGATAAGGAGAAGCAACCTCAGCAAGAGCTGGAAGAGCAGCCTAAGCAGGTTGAATCAGAGTTAGTGGAAGTGCAGGGAGCTACAGGAGGTTTTCTGGAGGAGCCCCTGTTAGAATCTTCTCCAATTTTGACTACAAGAGATGTGGCCTTGGACCTAGCTCGAATGGCTGAAGCCAAAGACCAGCGTATAACTCGAGCAGTTTCTAAACAACTCAAAGAAAAACAATTACAGGAAAGAGCTAAGGCACAACAATACAAAAAAGGAGCCAAGAGTACTACACAAGAAAGTGAAGCCATGTGGGGAGCAAAGCCGAAGGTCTCGGAAGATATCCGGCAATTCTGCTCGTCGCTTCAAAAAGGTATACATGACGATTAAGTTTTTATCTTGGAATGTGAATGGATTGAACTCACCACAGAAAAGGAAGAAGATATTTACATATTTGAGACAATTTAATAATGATATAATTTGCTTACAAGAAACTCATGTCAGAACACAAGATCAAAAATATTTGATAAATTCAAAATTAGGAATACATTTTATAGCTTCAAATTTGGAAAAAAAGAATGGTGTGGTTATTTACATAAATAAAAGACTATCAGCTAAAATTATAGAAGCAGATGAAGGTGGTAGGTTTGTAGCAATTGAACTGCACACTGTATATGGCCAAATTCTTGTGATTGGAATTTATGCTCCTAATCAACAACAGGATCATTTTTATAAAACTTTGCATACCAAAATACTGCAATGGGATTATAGATCTATTTTGATTATGGGAGATTGGAATGGAGTAATTGATTCCAAATTAGATAAAAAGAGTCTGGCGAAGTCAAGGATCAGACTACCACAAACCTTTTTTGATATGAAAGAAGATTTGGAATTAAAAGACGTATGGAGAATACATAACTCAAAAGACTTGGACTATACTTTTTTCTCTGATAGACATAGATCTTTTTCTAGGATTGATTTTATTTTATTATCAAATGACTTACTTGTTAAAACAAAAAGAACTAAGATTTTTCCAAGAACTTTATCCGATCATAGTCCAGTATGGATAGAAATTGAGACTGGAAAGACTGAGAGAAGATCATGGAGATTAAATGAAAATTTGTTTAGATATGAAAAAAATATAACAGAACTTAAAAAACAGATTAAAGAATTTTTTGAAATAAATTTGAACAAGGGTACCCCAATGGAAATTGTGTGGGATGCGAGTAAAGCGTACATGAGAGGGATACTCATTCATATGAACTCTAAACATAAACTGAATCGACAAAAGAAAAGATTTGAACTGGAAGTAGAAATAAAGAATAAAGAACAGTTACTTATTAAAAATCCAACAGACGAAAGAATAAGTGGTGCTATAAAACTTTTGAAAGATCAATTCCAAATGTTTATGGCGGAACAAGCTGCAACAAATTTACAATATGCGAAGCATAATACATTTTGCAATGCCAATAAACCGGGCAGATGGTTGGCCTATACATTAAGGAAGAAGCAGAGTATGCGGACTATTGATAGTATTGATATTGGAGGGAAAGAAATTTTTCAACAAAAATTAATTAAAGAAGCTTTTGTAGATTATTACACCAAATTATATGCTAAAGATGACATACAGAATGGATTTATAGAAAAATATTTAGAAAATAAAAGAGTTACAAAAATCACCAAACAATAAAAGGAAAGAATGAATCACCCTATAACAGTTGAGGAGATAATTGTAGCAATTAAACAATTGAAAACAGCTAAAGCTCCCGGAACTGATGGCTTGACTGCAGTGTATTATAAAACTTTGCAAGTAGAAATGGTGGAACAACTCAGAGATTTGTTTTGTAATATACAACAAGGGGGTAAAATACCCCCATCATGGAAAACAGCCTATATTTCTTTGATACCAAAAGAGCAAGTAGGTCCTAAAAAACCTGAGAACTATAGACCAATATCTCTTCTGAATAATGATTATAAAATTTATGCAAAAGTATTAGCCAACAGGTTGATGCCAGTAATTCAAGAGGTGATTCATGATGATCAAGCGGGATTTATAGAAGGCAGATATATGAAGGATAATGTAAGGCAAGTTATAGATTTATTGGAATATCTTGAGAAGTATAAACAGATCCCTGCAGTGCTGGTTTTCCTGGATGCAGAGAAGGCCTTTGATAGAGTGGATTGGAATTTTCTATTAAAGACTTTAAAAAAGATGGACTTTGGGGATCAATTTATACAGGCGGTTTCAGCAATTTATCAAGAACAAAAGGCACAGATTATTGTTAATGGAAGTTTGACAACAGATTTTAATATTGAGAAAGGAACAAGACAAGGTTGTCCGTTATCCCCATTGTTATTTATTTTAACACTAGAAGTCTTGTTGAATGCAATACGGGATTCGAGTACCTTGAAAGGAATAGTGATAAGGCAAGAGGACTACAGAATAAGGGCATTTGCAGATGATCTGGTTGTTACCCTAACACAGCCGATGGAATCAATAATCCAGATGAAAGACATTATAAAAGACTATGGTACAGTATCAGGATTTAGATTGAATCAGAAAAAAACTAAGATGATAGTTAAAAATATGACACAAGATCGAAAACACGAACTTGAAAGGAGGGCAGGTTTTGAGATTGTACCAAAGGTCAAATATCTAGGAGTTCAGGTTGCAGAATCGAATATGAAATTGTTTCAAAATAATTATGAGGTGTTGTGGCGAGATGTTCAGAAAGATATGGAGATTTGGAAAAAACTGCAGCTGTCTTTACTTGGAAGAATAGCAGCAGTTAAGATGAACATTTTGCCAAGATTTCTTTTTTTGTTTCAAATGATTCCGGTGCTTAAAAGTGATAAACAATTGAAAGAATGGCAAAGAGGACTGAATAAGTTTGTCTGGAACGAGAAAAAACCGAGAGTGAAATTGAAAATTATGCAAGATGTTCCAGAAAGGGGAGGTCTTAAACTTCCAAACCTACAGTTATATTATGAAGCAGCAGCTTTGACTCAAGCAAGCGATTGGTTTGGAAGGAAAACGACTGGAATATTGAATATAGAAAGTTTTGACCTTGAATTTGGATGGCATGCTTATTTATTTTATGAAGATAAAGTGGATAAAGTATTTAAAAGCCATATACTTAGAG